AGAAAAAAAATGTTCGTCGCATCAAACAATTGGTCACGTATTTTGTATATTGCTTCCAATAAAATTGAATTATCAAACTTCCGTTTTTTGTGTGTGTGCGCGCCAATCGATTTAGAGCGAAGAGAGAGAGAGAGGGAGAGAGCTCGAATACAATTTGATAATGGTTGATGTTAATAGAAATTGCCATGCATTTGCTTCGTCGTTGTCGTTGTTGATCTCAATAGTTGTGCGTGGTGCATGGTAGTTTGATCGATGCAAGTATATTCAGACGTGCATGAATATTTAATGTGTGCAGTTGATGTGATATTTTGTGAAATACGTTCGATCCAATGAACATAGAATTCACATGGATGCCGAAGAGCAAATGGCATCGGTTGGTTCTATCGGTTTTTAATCAACGATTTATCGATATTTAAGAGCACAGCGAGAAAAATATCAAATAGACAAAAACATTATTTATTTTTTTTAAAGGATCTATCGATGTATTTGTGTGTGTGTGTGTGTGTGTGTGTGAATGTGAATGGTGTACTTTTTCGGTGTCTCGTTCGGTTTACATTGTTTGTGCTATAGCTGTTGTAAGCCTGAGTGTGGATTTTTTTCTCTGTTATTATTGAAAAACAGCAGATGTTTCACTTTAATATTTCATTGAGTGCATCTGTGTGTAAGTGGCTGCTGACTGTGCTGGCCTGAATGTACTGTTTTGTGTACGCATTTGCTGATGAATCGATCTATTCGGTGTTTTACGAGTGTATTTTTGTGCAATGTGCAGAGTTGAAACGACTCCAATGCGCTTGAAATAGCGCAGCAATTTCGTCATTTTTGCGCCAATCAACTCCTAGGCGGAGTGGAGACCAGTAGCTTCGAATGTTGAAAAAAAAAACATTTTTATATATCATGTACCACTGCGATCGGCCGATTTTCATCGCTTGTTCGCACCATCAAATCACTAATAACTCTCTCAACGCACATTCCACACATACACCCATTTTGCAACGCTAGAATATTTATTCCAGCACATAAAAATCTATGCAAGCGCATTACGTGAATAAAAAAAAAAGAAATATGGAAACAATATCTGCAACATACTCAATACACTCAGCGTATATGCTCTCGATTCTGACTCGCCGACAAACATTTCACATGACATAACAATCTCTTTTGAATTCCATTCACATTGGAGTCGCGAACGCGCAAACACAACGATTTTACAACGAATTGCTCGACATTAAAAAAAAAGCATCACAATAATTCAATGTGAGCGAGCGCGCGCGCATGGCGTCGAGCACACGAGATGTCAAAATGTATTGCGATTTCACACATTTCTGTGAAATTTCTTGTGTTATTTGCAATGGATTTAATTTATGTGCACACGGTAAAGAATTAATATCTTTCAAAAGAAAAATACAATGCGTTCGCTCGCTCGCTCCGTTCAACATATCCAAAATTGACTGTTTATTTCTTTTCGCATTCTTTTCTTTGGCTGGTGGTGCTTTTTTTTTTCTTTAATTTCTTCTTTTCTTCAACGCGTGCCAAAAATTCATTCCGCCTTATAATTATCGAAAATTATTTAATTAGCACAACTATTTAAAAACAAGCGCAATGCAAATAAAAAATAACCATACAACGAAGCAAAGAGAGAAGTGAATTTATTGGCCATGTAAATATCTTATTCGTGGTCAGTCTCGGGAAACGCTGTCTTCGTTCTTTTGTTAATTGTAGTGTTGCTGATTGTCAGTGTGCCTGTGCATCCGACTATTTGTAATACATTATTTCGTTAATATAGATTTTTATTTCTGAAAGTAATTCTATAGAATGTCCAAGCCGAGCAACAGCAGCAGCAACAAAGAACTCTGATGACTCATTTAGATCAGGAAATTTTCATGTTAAATGATAATCGACGCTCGGTCAAACTCATTAGATGCAAAAATAAGACGTACTTGCGCATAACATTTCGGAGGAAATTACATATTTTTTTAAACAAACATCAGTGTGTCATGATCGTTGTCAATATTTTTTGAATTTCAATTAATTGCGCAATAAAAGTCGGCGGTCGGCTTTAACATAAACATTGGTTTTTAATCTTTCGTACATATCGATCGATCTGCATCCCTACTGCTGCTGTTGCTTCTACTGATGTTGTTGCCGACCACGCACTTCTTTCAAGCAATAAATTTGCAATTTTTATGCACCAACAATGCCGTTTTTGCTCGTTTTAATTTCTTTTTAATCTTGACTTTGTTATAACACGAACGCAATTGCATACGACACTGCACAAAAGAGTCACGGAAGACAAACACACAAACCGTGAGCAAGACGTAGACAAAAAAAAACGACAAGTACAAAAACAAAGTGGCAGAAGTTGCCGTCAACACATTCAATTTTGAGGCGCTTCGGTGTTATTTTGAGTTGGTTCTCTGTGTTTGTTTTTTCCTCCCTCTCTCTCGCTCTCCTTTGCTTTTCACAGCATATTTTGGCCATTTCGATCATGACTTCTATCGTTAACAGAAGACATTAACAACAAATTCAAGCACCTTGTTTGGCAATTATTATATGTTGTCTGTAATGTGTTTTTCATTCATTTTTTTCGTTCGTTCATTTGGTTTTACGCATATTTAAAAACGATCAAGATAAACACGGAAAAAAAATAAAGCTGTTTTATGGTCTCATTAACAAGAAGATCGAAGTTTTGCACTTGACGATCAAGAAAGCAGCCACCATCACCAGTGATTGTTTCCCATTGCGGGAGCGCCTGTGCGCGAGCGTAAGCACACGGTAGCATAAGGGCAACGAAAAAAAATGTAATTGATTTGATCAACGTTTCGCTCATTATTTGCGCTATATCGTGATGTATCTGGATGAGTATTTTTCTTCCCGTTCCCGTTTTTTTTTCCAATTAATCGCCGGCTGATTCTCTCGCTCGACGAGAACCGATGAAAACTCATTCATTCATCTTAATGCTACACATTAAAGGATAATCAATGAGCTGCTTGATGCGAATACTATGCAAATTTGCATTGCGTTTACGATGCCCATCAAATTATTTCTTGCAACAGTTTAATCGCATTCATTATAAAACGACCATACTCCTTCTTCATCCATTATTTAATGCATGGAAATGATTAATTTTTTTTTTCGAGAGGGAAATTTCTTTCCAAGATCAAATTATCATTCTTAATCATTTACGTTGATGATGTGTCCAAAAATCAAGTAACAAAATACCTGGAGCAATGAAAGGCAAAACAGATGATACGAACAATAACAAGCAACAGCAACCAAATACAATGAAAAGAAGAAAGACTGGTACGGTAACGGGAAAGAAGATCGAATCGAAATTGTTTTTGTTGCTGAGTTTTGCCTGTCGAATCGATTGCATCTGCGCATCGTGCCAAAATCTGACAATTAAAGCACATGCACAATGCATACACAATGCACTGGATTCATAAAATGTGAGCACATAAGACAACAAAAACTGCAATGCACATTGTGTTGTGTGACGGTGGCTAGGCCCTTTTCGGCAGGCTAGCAGCACACATTGGTTTCGATCACAGGCAGATACTGCATCGGAATCGGATAGATACTGCATCGATTTCGATTGGAAACAAATAGTCGCAAAACCGAAGGTAGATTTTTGTCAAAACACAACAATAACGCACAACGAAACGATTTCCAAGTTCTTATTCTTGTCGCATAAAATGACACAAGATGAGAGATGAAAGTGGTCAACATGGTTTACTTTGTCCATGTATGTTTGTGTTTTCATTCGAATATTGTGTGAGTGTGTGCATATGTGCCGCATGTAGCACGTTGCTGGAACAACAAATGAAAATTGGAATGATTATGTTTTTCCAGATGAATGATGGAGCGCAGAAAATTAAATAAATAAACGAAACCCAAAACCATGCACCAAGAAATGTTGGTTTTTTTTTCTTTCACTTTGCAATGGGCGCTGTCTTTCAACAGCGAGCGGTGTTCAGGAATAATAAATGCGCAAAAAAATTTATTCAGACATATGAATGCACAATTTAAATTAAAGCCGATTAATTAAATTACATATTAACGCAGGGGCAACGTGTTATGCATACAACGCACACACATATAATTCCGATCGGATGTGTGTCCAGTTCAGAGGCATCACACTTGCATCATACACACCGGCGAACGCGCGCGCGAGCACATCCGACGCAATGTTTCAAGTTTGAGCGGCTAAGAAAAAAAAGACTCGGTTTTACCATTGTATTTAATGCAATTTTCACTGCAGTTATTTACATTCGTTGGACGAATGTTCGACGACATGTCGACAAGATCCAAAAAAAGGTGAACATTGCTTAACATGGACGAAGTGAATTACAACGAAAAAAAAAAATGATTTTGAATAATCGCACCCAACCGATGATACGGCCGGTGAGCTAATAATCTGCGTACATCCAACGCTATTCACACCATACGCATTTGATTCGGCCATCGTCGTATATCCACCTTAACAAACGAAGAAAAAAAACGCCTTTTCGCACATTCACTTCGCCACGTCATTTTTCTTATTCGTCTTTCGTTTCTTTCTCTCCATTGTTTGTTATTCAAATCAAGTAGATTAACTACAAGGCGTACATTTCTGCAACACGATGATAATTGTTTTACGATTCTGCACATATTAAGTAATTGGTCATCATTGTGTTTTGCTGTGCGTATGCACATACACGGGGATCGCACCATAATGAGCGACCGAAGCGAATTTTGTATTGGCGATATCATTCAAATGTACACACAGACCATTCCATGGATCGTGGTCATCACGCGGCTAGAAAATTTATGCGCATTTCGCTATTTTTTTTAATAAAGCTGCGTATATGGTGAGAAATTAATTGAAAATTAATGGATTCGTGCATTCGGTCTGACATGTCGGAGAAAGAGCGAAGGGGAAATGAAATAATCGACACAATCAGACACAGAATAAGAAACTATTGAATCAATTCGAAAAGCTTAAATTTAGAAATTCGACCACATTTGTTTTTTCTATTCTTTATTCAGGGCGCTTTTTTTTTGTTTCTGTTCGCCGAGCGATATTCCAATTTTATAAATCTACAAAGAAAAAACACTAGCTTAGCTTAAATTTTAACAATGTGAAATCGATTTGAATGGATGTTCATAAATTAAGTATTTATTCTAAGTCTGTTCGTGTGTGTATGTTTGTGTGTTATGAAGAATTATGAATTAGTCCTTAAACTAGTCTACAGAGACGAAGAAAAAAAATAACTATTAAAATTGATGATATACGGTGTGGAGAGACTATGTGGAGCCAGCTATTGTGCACTGGCAACAGCTAGGGAACCAAAATGTGTCCGTATATAAATTCGTTCCATCGGCATTCAGCGCTATCAATCGCTTTTGCACATACTTTTGTTCACATCTAGATGAATAACCATTCGGTAGTTGACATATATTCGAACAAACAGTCGATCTGGATTTTGAAAACAACAACGAAAGAAAAAGTGGTTATGAAAAAAAAAAACCAAATAAACTTCAAGCTTATAGTCAGGATGTGATGCATTTTTAACTTACGCGCACGTTTCCGTTCGCACCAATTGTCGTGTTGTGTCGACCTGATTCACAATATACATCCAATTGCCTGAAAAACGTTTTCAACAATAGCAGAAAAAAAAAATACATTTTTGTATCAGTTTTGGATACAAATGTGTTCAAATCAAAAATCTATCCAATACCTTGACTATTTAAAGCTGCCTGCGGCGTTATATATTGATAGGTGGTTTGACACAGTTGTTCTCTTCCGGCACTCTGTCGTTTTGGTCGACGGTTCGTCTGTTGACTGTCGGTCGAATTCGTCTGTCGATCGTTCAATCCGGCCAATTCATTTTGATGGGAGGATGATCGTTGTGCATGATTTGCTGGTGTTGGCAATGTTGCTTCGATCGATGAGTTACTTGGAATTTGACGCGCAAATCGTGTACGCAATGAAACATCACGGACATATCTTTGGAGTTGGGAAGAAATTTTGCAAATTGAATTTTTACTCCTTTCGTTTAAAAATTAATAGATGATATTATTTAACTGATACAGAAAATTTCAGTTTCATCAATTAAGGTCATAATACTATAATATAAACTAGAAATGGACGCGATCGGATATGTTCTAAGAAAATATTCCTACATACAGAGTCAATTTATCAAGTAAATCAGCATTAATTTAGGAATCATGTTGTTATCTATTGGGAATACCAATATTGAGATTGTGTCGTGTATTTGTGTATGTTTGAGTGTGTATGTCAGTCTTACCCTTTGAACCATTTTGCCGGTTGGTATTCAGTCACATAGGAATTTGAACGGTAATAGCCAGGGTGTGATGAAGGCTGAGACTGAAACCGATATGGTTCGCTCAATATATTGTTCTGAGTCGGTCTTTGTGTGTGTGTGTATGTCGATAACAGCATGTGTTTTTGTTTTAGTGTCGTTTGGTGTGTGTATGTGTTCCAATTGATTTGTGCCCAGGTGATCAAGACGCATTCAATTTCGTTAAAGTGTTGCTTTGAAACGAAGCGAAAAAAAAACAGTGACGAAGCGACCAAATGTTTGTTCATTAACATAAAGCACAATTTTCATTTATTTTTAGTCAATAGTAATTAAAGTGACGTTAATTTGTCATATATTTATATATCATGGTGAGTGTGTGCAAGAGAGTGGGTTGCATGTGTATATGTGTTCATTGCGTTGTAATTGAGACAAAGAATGGAAGAATGAGAAGCAGAGAAGAAACCAGTCATTCATTGTAATTGCAGCGTTTTAATTTTCGCACACAATGTTACGTGTAATCGTGTATGAATTTTTCTTTCTTCTCTCTGCTACTGCTGCTGTTGGCCGTGTTTCCGTTTTGTTTGCATATGTCGCACCTGAACGTTTTTTTTTCTCTTCTCTTCTCTGTTCTCGTTCAACATAAAAAGTGTACAATTGGTTGTGTTCTAGGTCCTAATTACAGTGCTGTAAATTCTAGTCATTAAGTTCCTTTTTGTATTCATATATGTTTTCGAATGTGCTTAAGAAGGCGCGACATGCAAACGGTTAGAATGATCGGTCGTGCGACGTGCATAAAATTCCGCCGGCAAAATCCAACAACAAAGTAACCACAAAATTAATGGAAACACAACAACAACAATAAAAAAAAAACTCGGCGAAACCGAAAAAATTCGGGGTGTAAATTTGTGAGGAGAACAAAAAAACAACAACAAAATGCCTTACCTTTGGTTGATTGAGTATGAAAATCCGGACCAATATCGATCCGCGCTCGGATTATGATTGACCGTGTAACCGTTGGTTGGTAAATAGCCACCGGGTTTTGACGCTGGAGAAGGGAGAGAAGGCGATGGATGAGATGGAGGTGGCTGTGGCTGTGGTACAGCCGTATGCATTTTATTTGGATTTGGATAATTATAGCCTCCATCAAAGTGATGAAATCCGTCGGTCGGCACTGCATTTGGCAAATCGTTAAATGTTGGTGTTTGATTTGGATCTGGCGGCTTCTGGTCAAACAACGGTATATCATTAAATCGTCGGGTTGCCTCGAAATCATCGACCGTTTCATCGACGATAAGATCATTCACATTATCAATACCCCATTTATCCAGCAACAGTCGAATCGTGTGTCTGCATATCGCGCGCGGGCACATACAAAAGAGAAATAAATAAAAGATTATACTCTCAGAATTCAACGGAGGCAAACTAAAAAACATATAGTGTAAAACATCAAATTACCCACTGTTTTTTGCCATTGTTAGCAAAATGTCAGTTTACCTCCACTGTATTAAAATTGTCGGCAAAATGTCATTTTACCTACATTTTTGGTGGAACGGTGTTCCATTATATTAACAATGTAGGTAAAATTACATTTTGCCGACAATTTTAATACAGTGGAGGTAAACTGCCTACAATGGCAAAAAACAGTGGGTAATTTGATGTTTTACACTATATGTTTTTTAGTTTGCCTCGTTTGAATTCTGAGAGTACGAACGGACACATTTCGGAAAGCAACATAAGAGAATAGAGGAGAGAGATAGAGAGAGAGAGAGGAAATAAGAAGAATATAAGGTGACGAGTTTTTGGTGAACACCACACAAACACACACACACCAATAAATGTCATAATTGAACGCTCTTACACTGGATAATTTTGCACAAATTCACAATAAGTTTTGCCGGGTGACGCACACACCGGCGTTACGCCAGACGTTGACGGTACATAGTTGCACGGTGGCATTCCGTATAGGCCACATTTCTGATGCGAAAACCGGGACGATGATGCTAACGTTTCGATGCTTAATAAGACCTAAATGAAGCCAAATAAACACACGACATGAACAGAAAGACAAGTTAAATATAATGCAAGAACGACAACAAAAAGTGCAGAGTTCTAAAGAAGCTATACGTGTGCAACGCGTGATACATGAACAAGCTAGCAGTGCTGTTGATGATCACCTCTGGTCGTTATGATAACGACATTATTACACATTTTTCACACCAATTCTCTACTTGAATTCGGCCTTAAATTGCATCTTAAGCCTTACACCCAAACAACAGAATATATGCAAAGAAAACACGATATAAGAAACAATCATACCATAAATGAGATACTCCGCAGAATTACATTCATTATGATGTGTGAAGTTTGATGGATTTGTGCTGGGTTTCTCACTCTCCGAGTTGATTGTTTTTCGTTTTATTTTTCTTCTTCTTCTTCTATTTACGTTTTATTTTGTTGCGGTTCGTCGATGGTTTTTTTTCCTTTGTCGCTTGCAAAACACACCAATTGATGCTTGAAAAAAAAATGTTGCTTCGATTGTCTTGCTTAACATTCACTTTGGCCAACAAAAAGATTATGTCTTCTTCGGTTGAACTGTTTGCTAATATTTCGTAAAAGAGAAGAGAAAAAAAAACCATGAAATTATCATCGCAGAAGATTGATGATGATTTGGCTTAGGCACACACACACAAGACAGATATCGACTCTGTGCAAAATCACAACTATCCGATACGTTTACGAAATACATTTATAATATCTCTATTTTTCTTTATGATGTTTTTTTTTTCGTTTATTGCACCGACACATATGATAAATACATCTCGACTCACATTTGTGAGCTCAACTCCACCGTGTTCAGCTCACGATGTACAATGCACGGATGGGAAAAAATTGAATAAATTTATCGTAGAATCTCTCTCTCTCTCATTCGCTCTCGCTCTCGCTCTCGTGCACCAAAAACACCAACAACAATAGATCTCGCGCGATTGATAGTGAACAAAGCGCACGACCCAAACACAGTAGCTACTCACTTGCTCGCTATATGATTCGAGTGTGAAAATAAATAGATATGACTTGATCGCGATGTGTCTTTATTAACACAAATTATGTTATTTTCTACTGTTTCCAAACAGTTACGTCGCTGGAATAATCTGTAATGAGTTGTTTCGTGTGCATATATATATGCTCTTTAGCTCTTGGTGATCGTTTGACGCGCGGTCTCGATCACCAAGTTTTTATTTTTTCAAACCGCCCATGCAATCCTTTGCGAACATCCAAAACCAAGATAATAATGAAAAATGAGGAAAAAAAAAAACAATAAGAAAATAAACAAACAAATGAATGAATGAAATTATGTTATTATCAATATGAAATAATTGAATATGTGGACACACAATGCAACGTTTAATGTTTTAATGGACGAAAGAGAAACTCTTTGGATTGCAAAGTCGACTGTGGCACACACTGCTGACGCAAATGATGAAACAGTTGAAAACTAGCCGTCCTAATTGAATTCAATTATCACATTTCAATTTATTTTCAATTTGTCATTTATGACTCCAGCTGAACGTCTTTTTTTGTGCACTCGTTCGGGTTCGTATTTCACGTTCGTTTGTTTCAACACAAGGCGGCGGCGACGGTTTAGTGTGTCGCAAAAACGATAAGAATGCATCAGAATGCAAGCATCTGGTTGTCTCAATTTGTGGTACGTGATGCTATTTTGCAACAAGCAGTTGGATTAATGTGGGCATAAAGGTCAACGTCATGGTTACGCGCGCGCAAAAATAATACTAAAACAACTAAATCAAAAGTTGATCAAGAATCTTTTGCACTCTTCAGCTCATTCTAACTCTCTCAGTTGAAATGCAACAGAATAAAAAAAAAACTGAAGTTGGCTCAATCAATCGTCACGACGAGAATAAGAATGAAGAGAAAAAAAAAGAATTGAAATGTAAATGCAGTATTTATGCACACCATTAAAACGATATTCTGGCGACAAGCCACTTGAGTTGCCTCCGTTTTTTTTTTCTTCGTCTACTTCTCGTAATGTGTTGACAATTGCATTCGTTATTTTTTTTTTTAATATGTGCGCGGTAAGTGTTAAGTGCAACAGTATGTAGTCGCGTCAATAAAACACGAAACTCACGAATCCGCTTCGTATCCGATCGTTTTGAAAATCAAATTCGAGACGGAAACGAATCTTTTCATTTACAAGAGGTAATTCCCAACGAGAGAGAGAGAGAGAAAAATGAGCATTTGATGCATATATTCACAGGATATACACAAAATCAACTTTCTACATTGTGCACCGAAAAAAATGAAGAAAAAAACGACACATATTTCGATTTCATGACCAAAACATGCACACAATTTCCATATGGAACACGAAATTTTTCGTTGATGAACCATGGTACATGAAAATTACTTTCACTCTGGGATAGAGAGAGAGAGAGAGAGAGAGAGAAATCCTCTTTCTGACTCTCCGCCAGGCACTTACACACACTCACTCACTGATGCAGGAACATATGGTCAAATAATTAGTTTTTGATTTGATTTCGCTCATGCAGTGAAATTGTTTAATTCGATGCAAGGAAATGCATTGAATTTCTTGAGCGTAGCCGACGCGCACGCCGATCAATTATATGCAATGGCCTAACGGTGTGCAACAACTCAACAACACAGATGGAACACGATGAAACAAAACACAAAAAATAAATAAATAATAATACACAACAAAAACGATCGGTTCGGTCGCGCGCGCGCACTTAAACTATATTTGGAGGTTTTGATGCCACACCGTGACGATACATCAATGGGACTGAGTCATAGACGATCGGCGGTGCGCGTGCAACGTGCAGAATAATGTATTCGGTTGTGTGTGTGTGTGTGTGTGTGATGGGCATACAGAGGCAGGCAGGCAGACAGTATGTGGTGAACAGTGTGGTGATAGTGTGAGAGAAAGCATGATGATTACCTGAATATGTGCAATGCAAAACTATATGTTGGCATTCGTTTGGGTGGCATATGGCAATAGAGACACATTTCAATTCATGCCTTACCACATTTTTTCGACTCTTTGTTTCAAGTTTTCCGATGCCTCTTCATTGCTTCAACTTACCTTTTTTTCGTGATTCATTCACGCACTTGGTTCACTTTTCATCGTTTGTTTACTTAATATAATTTTTGTGGTCTCTGCTGTTGCTGTTGCTGTTGCTGTTGTTGTCGATAATTGATTTGAATTTTGTTCAACTCATTAAGGAGCTTTAATTCGATTGTCGCATTCGCATACAAAAATCACTCCAGTTCGTGGCCACATTCGCATGCTTTCAATCAACACACAAATCATTTTCGTTGACTTGGGTAATTTTATTAGCCTACACCTCTTTTTTTACACTGGAGAACGTTTCTCTCTCTCTCTCGAAATGCGTTTTAATCACAAGATAATGCGAATTTTACACACGGATTTTATTTAACTTGTCACTCTATATTAAAAATGGTTTCTTTTTACATTCTTTTTCTTCTGGTTTTTTATATTTACTCTTTACATTTTTCTTGTCGAAATTCTCGCTCAAAGCAACGGTTTTTAACTTGGTCTTTTCTTTATGAGCACCAAACTAAATTTCAAAAACAAAATACGACTGAAAAAAAGCGCGCGTAAACACATTTGTTACATTCGTAAACACACTCATACACAAAAAGCATGCTTCTTATTTCGCATACCGTGATTTAGTCAAAATTCTACAATTTTTACCTGCGAATACAATTGAAAGAGACTGCATTTACTCTTGACAACTACTTCATTTCTAAATATTTGCTCAAGATGTTCGTCGAAATTGAATGCTTCTCGATGCTATCGAAACGAATGAAATGAGGTAGAGCGAATAAAAAAAGTCAGCCGAAAAAATGAATTTAAAGCCATTTATTTATTACATGCGTCTGAATGCTAAAATGCCGTTTATCACTTTCGTTTATCGGCGATTGAGCAAAACAAAGGGGAGCAACAAACAAACAAACAACGAACAAAAACCAGCTCAAAAAGAATTAAACCTGAAGCCATAAAAGAAAGCAAGAGAGAAAAACGGGCACATAGCCCAGTGCCTAAAATGAGTCGTTAGATTCCATCAAAATGCCGTTCGTGCACATTATTCAAATTTCATCAACACGTTCTTCTTCTTCGTTGTCGTCGGTTTTGTCGCTCCCACCATCATTTTCGGCTCAATTATCAATATAACCGATATATGTTGGTCACAAATCACATACACAATTTTATTGCAAATTTTTTTAAGAATACATTTTGACAAGAGAGAAAAGAAGAAGACACAACACCTATTTTAATATTCCATCATCGAAATATCGGTGGTATTTTCTTTTTTTGTTGTTTTGTCACTTCTTGTTTCGCTTGTTTTTGTTTTCTTCTTCGTTCGAATCGCAGCAAAATAAATGGAAGAAATTTTTACATTTTTCAAAAGTCGATTTCGACGGTCACTTTTTCATTGGTGTCTCTATTGCCCCTGCCACACACTCTTCGCCGCTGCTGTGTGCGGCTCATAATCGTTTTGCATTCAAACCGATTCGAGTTTATTTTGTTGTTGTGCAAAACGATCTCGACGACCAGACAGAGAAGTGTGAATCTTGTCCGGGTATTCGTGTTTTGTGGCATTTTTTTTCTCGTGTTATTGCATCGAAATAATCGTTCTCGTCATATATCTGCCATGGGATTGTGCTTCACGTCTAATAAATCAAAATAATGCGGATCTTATCGAATGATTAATTTGGAGAAATGAAAACGAAATTCGCAGAAAATGCGCGAAAAAATAATGACTTTTTAGGTTTATCTCTTTCTCTCTTTCGCTTCAAAGTTTTTGAAGGGGAAATATCAACTGTAATCAGTTTGTCATCTACCGGATTATTCAAATCTGTGTTACATCTTAGCGTAAAACATTTCACATCAAGGCCATTTGATACTTATCCAGCTTTTTTTCGCTGTCACTGTCCTTTTTACAATACATAGTTTTTCCGCGCCAAACCTATAATTATTTTATAGTTTTCCTCACTTATTTCCTTGGTTTTTTTTTTCATACATTCTTTAATCATTCCAAAGTGTGTAATCTTACGTAAAAAGTATGTTTAATTGAAACATTTACTATTAATTCTTATCGAAATTATCAAAAACAAAGACGGTTTAGATGGAAATTGAAAAAAATTACACTTAGATGGACCATGATACAATGCTCTTGAAGAATATTGATGATCATGATCGATTCTGAAAATTATTTCGCCCCTTTAATCTATGAAGTATGGCATAAAAGCCCAATATTAAGTTCATTCTCACAGTTATGACCTTGTGAAATTTTGGATTCATCAACGAGTTCTTATATATATTTAGTCACTCTTGAGCAAATGTGCTAACGGTCGGTGATTTGTCGAAATTGCAGTTCGTAATGAGAGAGCTACAATGCTTCAAGCGATATGCTTTACAAAACAAAACTCAAACTAAAACGATATGCTTTATTGTGTCGATAGTCAATATCCCGACCATTCATTCAAAGCTGCGTAGAGGGCGACACAGGTCGATGGTATAACTGAAAGCTAAAGCATGTACACATGTACACTGTTAAAATCGTTGCTATAAAACCGTATTCCAGTTGGAATGGCACTTTTTTCAAATGTTCCAATTAGATCGTTACCTATACTTATGGTTGGAGAAGCATTTTCTCTTTTTGATTGACATCAAATGCCTTAATTTTATTCATTTATGCCTTACCACTTACCATTGCTCAAATCAATTTGGTTAAAACAATAAAAAAACATGTTTCATTCTGAAAAATTGCTGAAATTAAAGATCTAATATTTTCGTTGTTGATCAACTACAACTAGCCAGAAGAAGAAAAATGGAGAAGACCACTGTTTTTCAAATAATACTTCATCGACTTTATTTGACGAGAAAACGTGTGTTTTTACAAAAAAAAAACAAAAGCTCAAACGTAAAAAAGTTGTTGGTAACTCCAGCAAAAGTTTGCATCGAATCTACAGAATACAGCCCGCCTGTTTAGCTAATCACTTCATTTTCCTCGAGAATTTCCGCCGATTCATTGTTGTCGCCACTGATTTCGACGTATGGCTCCAGGTTCCTTGGAAAAAGAGGTAAAAAAAGAGAAAAAGAGAAAAAAAAATTTAATTTTGTTTGATAAAACAGCATCTTGATTCAACTGAAGTGAGTGTCATAAACATATTGTTTTAATCATCATGTGCAGCTGTGAATGGCGCTATTGAAAACTTGTTGTAAACACGATAAACCGCCTTAGATTTGTATGCAAATTATGGATTGATCGACCTAGTTTAATTTTCATTTGAATGCAAGAGGCAATATTCATGTGCCAACAGAATTGAGATTGAGAGATGACGATTTTTTTTTTCTGTTCATGCTTTTGGTGCAACTCGAATTGTTTTTCACTAACCGAATTGATGTGTGGTAAGTGAATTTGGTAGCTTGAGTGATACTATGCATTGAATGCAGGTCACAAGAATTGGACTTTGCAATGGGCCTAAGAGAAAAACGTGAAGATCTTAAAGAGAGAAGTCAAGCTTATTCGCATTGAACAGATTTTTGCCATGTAAATCAGTCAGCCAATAGAAGCCGTCACGCTTCTCATGAGAATTGTCATCAAAGGAAAAAACTCCATCCATACAAGCTACGAGATACTTTATTCGAAACAATTTTCATTATTGTCATCATTTTCATGATCATCCTATCGATTGTCCTTATCTAAATAGAATCGTTTTATTGGAATTATGCAATACGAATAGAACTATTTGCAAAACTTAATTTTATAATAACTAAAAACTAGTTTAAATTCTTAATCAAATGACTTTGAGACATTTCCATCAGACGTGTCCACTTAATTTGTCTTTCGGTTCTCTAAAAAAAAATTTATTGTCCGGTGCAAATAACAAAAACAAAATTGTGAATATGAAGAAAAATGGCTAGAGAGAGAGAGAGAGAGAAGAATATTTGGTGTTGCAAATAATTGGTATACAAACCTATAGAAAACATAATGTTGTAGCAAGAATAATATATCGAACATCACAGAAAATAGGCCAAGACCGAATTTGGTTGGATCTCCGAAAATCGATGCCCAGTCATCTAAAATAATAAGTGAAATGACAAATGAGCCGCGGAATTTCCGGATTTTTTAGACTTTTATCTGGACAAAGATTAAGAGGAGGATAGTCATTTACCATAATTGTACGCATTTAAAATCATTTGCATCATACTCAACATGCCACCCGTGAAATCGAGTAGAACATTTCCAATACTCCAACCGATTGTACTTTTTCTTTGGTAGTTCATGTACGCCTAGAATGTAAACGATAAATTGAAATATAAATAAGTGGAATATTGAAAATGGAATATAGAAATCTGACCGAAGAAAACAATCAAAGATGAATCAGAAAAGTAAATGCACATTTCAAGGCATTCATTTTACCTGTGGTACATATTTGATAAGTGTTATCGACAACTTGATATAACTGCATATGTATAAAAAGTCCAACCAATGAATGACTTCGAAGATGGCCAGACCGACTGAGATTATTCCACATGCTGTAAACAATGCTAACAGTGATCGGCCAACGGTTGAAACGCGTTGATCAGCTCTCTGTAATATGATCAGGTGTTAATAACAACTAGATTAGTTGGTGATTTCTCTCAAGTAAACAAAGTCATTGTAATAACGGTACTAACTTCATATACAAAGCACTGGGCGATTGTGATGAGCGTAGCGAATGTCGCATGACAAGCGAAAAAGATATCATTCAATTGAACTGGATTTAAACCACGCGGAATTCGTCGAGCGTATTCTTTCTGCGAACACATTTTTTTTTTTTTGAGATAAAGAAAAAGTATTCATTAACATGCTATCTATAATTGGAATAAGAATGAAAAAAAGTATTGTCGTGTCCAATACCTGAACCTCTGGAATGGAATACAACCCAATGTTGAATACACCGTACAACATGAAACCGACGATGTTGAGCGATAGAAAGTCAAAATTCAAACCGACTACACTCTTTCGTTTGTAGTTGATTATGATTTGTGGATAGAATGATACGGACCATGCAACAAAGTAGAGCCATCCAATCACCGATGAAATGGTAATTAATTCGGATGAAAGTGCGACAACAACACGAACAAAAAGGTTGCTTGTGCTAAAAATGAGAAAAAAAAAACAAACACTCAATCGATTTGATTCAATTCGAACGTGAACATTGTTCACTTAAAATAAATCATTTTCTTTTCATACTCGATAGCATCTTCTGGTGTGGCTGATGCGGTGATTTCAACGTGCCCGGGTGATCGGCCGATGATCGTGACATTCACCAAACCGACCGATGTTGGAGTAAACTCGAAGATACCGGGTTGCAAATCAACCAATCCCTTGTTATTCACTTGAAGTGTCACATTAATTTGTTTATCAACAAATCCACTGTAAGTAGAAAAATAAGAACCAGCCGTAAACGAAACCATCTACATGTATTAGAGTGAATTTTCTAGAATTCTAATTTTTGTTTTGTAATTTTTGAGCGACGATGAATATATTTGATACTGCTGCTACTCACTTTAATTCGATGGTAAAGTGTTGGGTGTCGGGGACGATAACAACGGCATCATGTGTTGATATCGAAAGTGTGGCATTCTTTTGTTGGCATTCAACTAGACGATGTGCTGAAAATTGGAATTGATTTTGTGATTTGATCCGATTTCAAAAGGGAAAAATATCGCAAGTTTTCTCTTTTTTTTCACTTACGTGACGACGACAACAATGCAATGATGGTCAGGAGAATGGCAACGGTTTTGCAATGTAGTTGGTCCATTGCCTTGGAATTCTAGAAAAAAAACGAATTCGAATTCAATCCTATGGAAAATTCTGTTGTTTAAAAACAAACGATAGACACTGGTCAATTGAAACGGATTGCGGAATTCGTCTGTTGTTCAAAACAGATTTGTTTCAAATGATACAACTCAAAACAACATGCTCGCTATATGAGAAAAGAGATGTGGCGAGCGCGAAAAAAACGAAACAAGAAATTGTCGTTATTTATTCGGACGTGTTTTTTTTTCTCAAAACGCTTTCGTCTCGTGAAATCCAATAATTAAGAATTTTTTATGAAGCAATAAATTTTGCAGGCTCATTTCACAATACTTATTTCCATTTTTTTTAAATTTTGATGCTCTTCTTTCAGCTGATGCTCATCCAAATTACGTTACTTTGTTGTATGAAACGATTTTACTATTTTGTTTTCGTTTTGTTTTGGTTTGCTTTCGAGGACATTCGGCGATGTTCAAACTTAACATTTAAAATAACGTTCACTTTTAATATATGTGTCTTTAGTGCTTTTGCATCTATTCCATGTGATATCCGGCATTTCTTTCTTCCGGAATTTAATTTTTGGTCAATCAAAACTGAGTCAATTTACTATAATAAAATATAAAACGAATTGTATCAATGAACCGAACACGGTTGAACTCGATCAGCGTGTGAATAATTTTCAACATTTCTGAAAATAGATTGATTTGCGTAGAATATGTTGAGTCATTGCGAATGTTATTCTCGCACATACACGACTACATAGGGGGAAAAAAAGATAGAAAGTCAGAAAGAGATAAAACAAGAGAGACCATCATTCAGAAGAGAGAGAGAGAGGGAGCGATAGCTAGAATAGATCACAAATCAAGTGCTAGCGTGGAGAGGCAAAGGCCATTCATTGAGGCCCGAATAAATTTTGTTTATCAGTCGCTGTGGACGATGCAACATTGCAGCATTTTATCTGGGGAACGAATGAAACAGAGACGGGATCGTCAATCCAAAAATAGCGACATTATTTCGCGATATGTTCTGTTTGCTTATTCTTTTGTTACGGCGAAAAAAGAGAGAGAGAGAGAGAGAGAGAGAGAAAAAAAAGCGTTGCGTCAATATTGTGCTACATTTCAAAAATTGAAATCGTTCATTGGCTTGCATTTGAACCCGTGCTCTAGCTCCTAATGAATATGCACTGTGTATAATTGACAAACAAAATGTACAACAATAAAAAAAAACACGCCATAATTAGCCGATTTTATTTGCTTCGCATGGAAACGTCGTAATGTGACGAACAATCGTGTCTGATCGATTTTGTCATCGTGAAGACACAATAAACACAGTTGGTCTGCTTAGTTTCACTTTGCACATACAATAACAACAATAACAGCCGTAACGAAAGCAAAATATCTGCTTTCGCATTTGTTCACTTATCTCAACTTCTGTTACTCTTCCGTGTGTGTACTGGCAGGCATATCCCACATACAGCATAAACAACACATTCCATTTGTTTTTCAGCTGTGGAATATGTTCTAGATTCTAGGCGTGTGTGTGTGTGTGTGTGTGCGGGCAATGCGACTTGGAATTTAGCACCTTTAGAAATTTGAGGACGCCTGGTAAGCGTCAAAACGAGAATCGGCTATGGTTTGGCATTTACTAATTACCAGTGTGACCGGAAAGTACCATTTCACTCAGGCACCTCACACACACACACACACACACACACACACACACACACACACACACATCATTCATGCAAAGCAATGATCAAATTTCATGCACCGTCAAGACCGGCTTTCATATTCAAATGCCGTACTTAGCACTCAATGAAATCGAAACAAAACAAATAGTCGCCGCTTCTTTTCTGTTCGATGAATGCGTACGGCTTCGATTAATCTTTTTCTTGGCTTGTCATTTCAAACAAACACGATCAATGTGAACGCCTAATTAATGATGAGTTTGAAATTTTTTGCTGGTTTCGAATTGAAACCATTAAGAATCATCGAGAAAAAAAAACAGTGCAAAATGAGCCTCTTCTCCGAATAAAATTTCATGAATTTTGCGAATTTTTCCTCGAATGAAATCTAATATGTTATTAAAGCCAATGATTTGTTGCTCATATCTTTCAATTCACAAAATCTCAAAGTCAGCAACCACTGCCACTTGGAGAGCGGTTCTGGTTCTGGTTCGTTGCGAATCAATTGCCCACGGGCAATTTGATAAAGGAAGACACGAATGAAGAACGCATTTTATGATATTGTCTTTAATTGCGTAAATGCTCAATTTCAGGAGTTGTATTTGAACAAAACACGCACGCACGCAATGGACTATTGCTTTTGTTCACTACTCCGTTCTCTATTGAAATATTCACAAAATGTTACTATGCATCTAGTTAAGTTCGAATGCGGTTGACATATGCACCGTACATTCGATGCAGTTACATGCAATTTTCTAATAATAGTCTCGGCTATTAATGACATGTTTACCGGAAGGTATGCAAATGCTATATTATATTTTGAACAATTATTATTGATCAAAGTGTTGATTTGCCGTGTGATAGCGCGAGATATTGAGTATGGAAGACAATTTCTAGGTAAAAGTTATCAAACATCAACAACGTTCGAAAAAAAAATCGGTTAATTTGAACCTTTCGACCTGTGTCTCGGTCGATGTCACATCTCTGCATGTGACTCACTAATTACTACTAATTGCACTGATACGAGAGCTAAATCACAGGGGGAAATTCTTCTCTGACGTCATCATACCACTTTTTTTTATGTGCAAACCGTTTTCAGTCCGTTTCACTATGACCATGCACTTATTCCATTGTATGTAAATAAAAAATTCCGAATTACGTATCGAAAATTGTGATTCAGTTTTTTTGAAACTTGATTTTTTTGTGGAAAATAGCAAAAAAATTTATTGTGAGTTGTTTTCGCAAATTTTTGGCATTCAGAACTTTTAATTGATAAAAAAAGAACTTTTTTGCTTGATTAATCGCGTCGAAGTCGAAAATTTCAAATTATACGACGAATAATTTGTAGTACAAGTGATTTCATTCGTTTGTTTTTGTTTTTAGATTTCTTTTTTTGTTCTCATGTTTTTAATCACTGACGGAAGCGATATAGACGCATGTGTGGCCAGCAATAATAATAATATACGTCCAACAATAACAAATTGTCACATAACAAGTGACTGCTCTCACAGGAGGAGCAGAAATGAGTTTTCAATTTGTTTTTTTTTTTTCATTTCATTCTAACTAATTATACCATACTTATCATTCGAATTGAATGAAACGTTTTGAACTAAATGTAAAAAATGCGTTGATAACAATTCGTCGAATGTTTTGAAACACTAGGACGTGTTGCATAGTTTCCAATTCGTTCAATTTAATCAGTCAATACATTCCTCTCTAGATTTCAACCGAAAAAATTAGTATTGTACGTGTTGTATTGCTTCCAAAAATATAGAGTAAAATCTCAATCTAATTCTTCGATTCCCATGCAGACGATATGACTGTCTCTTCGGAATGCGTTTATCACATAAACTTGTTGCTCAATAGATGAAACGAACGAATGCAATCAAAAATAACCACGAACAAAATACTCGAATTCAATGATTCAAACTCTTGAGAGAAAAAAAATGCTATTCTAGTTATCAGTCAGTTGTTCATTTTTTCCCCTCCTATTGAATAATGTATATTATGCATCAGATAATCTACACGTGAATTAATCGCCTGATTTCGTATCGATGGCGCTAAAAAAAAGCACTCAATATCTTCCGTGCAATTAATTGGACGAGCCGTATAATTTGAATAAAAATTTGTTTTAAATCCACATTTTCAATAAACTTCACTGCTGATGGTGATTGTTCTAATTGGTTTGGCTTATCGATGCGTCATTTCAGAAGTGGTTTTTTGAAAGAAAAAAAAAAGAAAATAAAAACCGCATGGATGATTTTTCGAAAAATTCTGTTGACGTGCACTGTGTCGATATGGGTAAACACTTAATCACGCTGCGCAAAAGTGGATCATAAACGTTTGTCATGCATTATCAGGTTTTTAATCAGTAATTTTCGAAATGCCATTCAATCAAATTGCAAATACAAATATTTTATTTGTCATGATATCGATGTGTGTGCCTTTGTTCTTTCAATTTTTATTTTCCTTTTTGAAAAAATTTATGAACAGCAATAAAAAAAAATAGACAATGATAATTGCGAAAAACACTTGAAAACCGACCGAGTCATTATCATTTTTTTTCTATGGGTTTTTTGTTTTGTTCAATTTCAGTTATCAGGCGCGTATTTTCCTTTTCCTGCTGCTTCGCGTTTTTCAAAATTGAAGTTTGCACGCTCTTCTTTTTTCAAAAATCTAGAGCACATAGGAATCAACGACAACGATTGTAGTGTCGAACGTCGGTGTACCTTTTTTTTCTCCCTATATTCATATCGGACGATAAATGTTATCATTTTCTCAACAAATCGGGACGCACACGGAAAGAGAAAGAGAGAATAAAATTGTTGAAAATGTAACAATTGGAATGTATTTTATGACCGTTTTGGCATGAACTGTACGTGATTTGTGTGGACTTTTTCTTCATTCATTGCACCAATGAATCGATGGTAGCTTTATTACTATAACACACGTATTTAGACATCAAATAGGCAAATATATGCTGAAATTCCATACGAACTTCGTATTACGAAGATTCCTTTGACTGCACCATAAAGAATTATTGACAACAATTTCAAATGATTTATTGTTGCACTAAATGTTTATGATGAAATCGAAATGATTGCTGTGAAACAATGTATTTAGAGATTTAGAATGCGTTTGAATGTCATTACACCACCTTGTGTTGATTTAAACAAATCCATTGACAATGCGGTAAATCGACGGGATCGATGTTGACTGAGAGATTGCGAGCAATGCCGTGATACACACAGAGAGAGAGAGAGAAAGAGGGAGAGGCTCTGAACTTTAGTAACTAGAATGAGTTCTGTCTGTTCGAGGTGTGTGTCGTGTTGTGCACTTGATGTGGTTTTGAACTTTTGGAGGTAAACCACCGTTTTCGTTCGATTGCAAAATGAAACACATTGCGTTGACTATGTGAATTGAGTGTATATAAATCAAATCAAGCTGAACGTAATTTCAATAGCGCAACACTCAGATCTGCGGAATTTCACCCATGAAGCCTTTTCATCCTTTTGAATAGCGAAGGTGACACACTCACACACTGTTTACTTTATTCCGAGTTTGTTCTGGCGTTCACGTGAATACAAATGAAGCGATAAATTTATCCAAATTCAGAATAAAGGTGAATAAACAAACCGCAAAATAACGTCGGGAAATATGATAACAAAACTGGTCGAATGTCGATGTAATTTTTTTTTCTCATATTTATTCATTCGTCTAAAGCGATAATTGCCGAAATCGCTGATGATATCCACTAATTAGACACCAAAACAAAGTTTGTTTGTTTGTTTGACTAACCGCCTCTGATTTTATTTTTGGGCTCGAATCACAAATTAATACACGAATTACGATTTGGTTTTTTGTTAAATATGCAAACGATCAATGGAGATGATTCACGCTGTGTCTTGTAAAATAAAATTCGTTTAGCCTTATAGAATTTAATTCATCGGGTTTTTTGAAAATTGTTTTTTTAATTGATCGAAGAATGATCGTTTTTCGAAAGAAAAAATGCTATTTTTTTTCTCTTAAAAGAAAAAATTCTTTTAATTGAAAAACACAAGAAATTTTATCCAGCTTGTACATCAATTACTTGAGAATGTTGCAAAATTGTTACAAAAAAAAAAACGTTAAAAAAAGAATTTTTTCTTTCAAAAAATGTACATAATTTTCACCTAATATAGATGATAGAAGATTGGGCCGTTGCGCGATTACAATAGCTAAAAGGCGTATTTGTTGCTGGTTTGATGTTCGGATGGCTGTATTGTAAATTCGAGCCGCTTCAGCTGGAGTTACTTGTACTGTGGCTGAATGATAGTGTCAGACTGAGTGAGTTCGAGAAACCGAGACCGGACGATACACCATAAGCAAAATCGAGTTAACAGTACGGTTGGCTTTTGGTGTGCGTAAACGCAACAAACAGAGAGGCAACAACACACGATGGCTTGAATCGGTTATTTGTGTGGTTTTTTTTCATTCAATTCTTCTGTGCTTTAGCAATGCGACAGGAATGCCTCGATAATCGCGCGCGCGATATATACCCGATTCCGTTCGAATGTGAAATACAGAAAGCTCAGACTCTGTTTTTTTTCATTTAAGTGTTCTTGGCTTGAGTCGTGTGAGAGTATGTCTATATGTCGTCGCCGTCAATTATCAAGAGCTTAATGTGGGAAAGAGAAGAGGGAGAAGAAGAAGTAGAGAAAAAAATGTGTAGCAATATTTATTTTTGGTGAACTTGGTTGGAAATGGTCGTTGTATTTGTACGGCGTGCTTATTACAATAGCTTTTACTCGCGAGAAAGCGGCCCACATGACACTGATGCACACAGAAACGGAAGCGTTTTTTTTTATCTGGTGCATTGCATCAAATTATGGCCTTTGATCAGCAGCACCATGAAAGCATTATCATATCACTTTGGAACAACAAAGCAAAATTGCCGCTCCATCTCTCGCAAATGAAATCGAACCATGATTAAAGAAATGCAAATCAACATGTGGTGCTTTTGCTGTTGCTGCTGCTGCTGTTGTTTTTTCTTCTGTTTTCGGGCGACGCACCTGCTTAGTTATGAAAATCGATTGAATATGTATTTACGGCAGCAATTCAATTAGCACACATTGGTTTGTGTCCATTCAGTGTGCACTGGGTTTTTATCATTCAACCCATTTAATTCATGGACTTTTGTAAACCAATTTTACTTTTTTTCGGCAAACCATTTTTTAATCGGCTTCAAATCAAAAACAAATTAGTACCAGCATGACACAATTGAGAACGCAAAACAAAAAACAATCGATTTATTAACTTTTGATTTACGATCGAAATCAAGTAAAAACAATATTTTTTTTGAATGAAATGAATTGCGGTATTAAATTGGTGAAACGTTGAAATTTTTTATGTGAAATGAGGGATTTTCGGAACGGCAATCGGTGGTTTGGCAAACAAAAAAATTGGCAGAAAAAAATGGTCCGAAAAAAAGGCTCAGAAGAAATGGTCCGAAAACAGAAGATGGAAAAAAAAATTGCTGAAAAAATGCTGAAAAAGTTTGAAAAGTCGAACCGTTTGACAAATGGTATATATGCAGAATTGTCTACTTTCGATTTCTAATGCTAATTCGCCGGTGACGAAAAAAAAAACTATTTACTGATATAAAATTTAACATTATGTGCAAGTGTACCTATACATTATGTATCTATCTATATAGTTGTGTGCTAAATTTCTAAAAACACTCATCAATATAGCCTTACCCGACGAGTCCCAAGTCAATGCACGCCACTCGAATGGGTTGGATTTGATGTTTGATCGTTTGAATGTAAACAAATAGTGAATTTATATTTTATGCAGATTATACGCTATGTGTCACCCGACCAGATTCACTTATTATTATTTGTTGCAAACAATTATTTATATATTCACTGCACAAAATGTTTGCACATACTTGGATTACAGATTACTGAGAGAGAGAAAAAAACTTATAAATAAAACGGCATGAAATTAGAACGATGAATGAGTCAAGGAATACATGTTGTACAATAAATTCACTTAAATGCGGGTATCCAAAATGGAATATTAGCACACACACACACACACTCATACACATACACATGAAATCATCAAAATGTTTGCCATGTCCTGAATTTACTTGTAATTCATATTTAATTTGTTGGATTTTTTATTCATAGATTCGATTCAAGACGAAAATTTTGCATGTAATTGAATTAAATTTGATTTTCCAGTCATTGCTTTTCAAACACTGACATTTTCACTACTCACTGAATCATCACGTTTTTTTGTTGTTGTTCTCGGTCTCTATTCCAATTGAATACGATTATGATGTGAATATAAATATATTGACCGCACTTTAACTCATCTACCTTGCGCGGAACAGGTAAAATAAGTGGTCGTCGTCGCCGCCGCCTCAGCAACGTAAGCCGAATTACACACAAAAACAATACGGTTCGGCACGAAACTCGATTTTTTTTTATTATTTATAAATGATATTGACAATGGCAATGACATATACCATTGTCAATAGCACCTGAAATTCCATTTATTCACTTTAATTTCAGTTAAAATTTCAACACTTTTTGCGTCTCATCGGCGAAACGAGATTCTTTTCGTAATTCGGCTTGATGGGGCGTTTTATTTTTTGGCAAAATATGAAATTATTGTTTTGGTTGTGAGTAGTATCGCGATTTGTGTGACAATTTGCCGATGAACTATATGTTTATGTTGTTGGTAAACAAAAAGTCATTTAGGAGCTATCTGAACGGCGAGAGTTTAGATCAACGACAACTTCACACCAAATGGATTTTAAACGATTTGTTGACGTTTCTTATCGTTTCTCGGCTAATGCACTTTTGGTGCACTGTGAGTGGGACGTAAGGGAAAATGTGAAAAACTAAAACAAGAATTCTAAGAAAATTGGCACAATGACAAAAATTTTCGGAAAATTTATTTGCATGAAACATGAAATAGTTTTATTTACTATGGTTATTTTTATCACTTCAAACACTATGTGGCAGCTGTGAAATAATCATTCGAAATTCATAATGATAAATAAATGTTTCCATTATTCAAACGCTGAGTCAAACCAATAATCAACAACAAATGATTCACAAGTTTCATTGTTGGTGATTCATTTTCGCAATTTCCCGAGTTCTTCGTTCTTTTTAGTTGCAGTTTCGATGGCATTTATAAATCCATTGCGAATTCCGAATTTTTCCAACTCATGGATCCCGAATATTGTCGATTCGCCGGGTAAACACAGCTAGAACGAAATGAATTGGTTGTCAAAAGTATGAAGAAATTGAAATTATGTAGAAATTTGTTATCAAAATTTTGAAGAAATCATAGTTTTGAAGAAGAAAAAAAACCAACTTCATCGCGTAAAATAGCTGGATGTCTTCCAGTTTCGAGCACCATTTTAGCAGCACCAACTACGGTTTGAGAAGTCAATTTGAAAGCGTTTTGAGATGGAATACCCAATGTAATTAATCCATCTGCCATTGATTTTATAACCGTATACACCTATGAAAGAGGTTGATTTGAGTATTTTTGCAAGCAATTAATGATCGGTCAAATCTGAGGCGCAATCAATGGTCGATAACAACTGAGAGGCATACATAGGCTGATCCACAAGCTGTTAAAGCGGTAATCGCATCCATCATTTTCTCGGGCACCTGTTGAGAAATGCCCAGCGGTGTCAAAAGGGACTCAAGTTTTTCCAGATTTTTTGCGATTATGTATCGTCCTGGCGTATAAACCATACATCCCGCACCCACTTGCACCGATGTGTTTGGAATCATTCGAATTAGTTTTAGCGTTGTCATAAAACTGAAAGCCTGAAAAAAACCAAGTTTTATGATTGTAAGAATGTTTATTTGTTCAAAGTTCAAACTTGTCACTGTCTCAATTGAGTCTTTTTTTTATGGAAAAAATCGAAACTCTATTCATTTGCTCAATCAAATCCGAAGATGTAACTTACTAACTCCAATTGATCGAGTGTTACACCGGTTATAAGCGATACAAATAGTTTATCACTATCACATACGACGGGCTCAATATTTCCCTCAATCTGCTGTGCACATTTATACATCAGATGTGGTTTGATACAGATGAAAATTATATCACTTTTCGTTACGACCAGTCCATTTTTGTCGGTAGTTTGAGCGTCAATTTGACGCCATTTTTCTAAATTTTTTGAGCTCAGACTCGAACACGATACAAACACTTGACATGGCTTTATGAAACCTGGAATTTAGGAAATTTGAAGATGAAACAATCATCGAAGAGCGATTGAAAAATACCATTAGCTATTAAGCGGGAACCAATGGCAAAAGCAATGGTACCACCACCTATAAATCCAATTCGATCCTCTACTTTTGCCATTTCGAGACTTTTTCTATGGAATTTGAATTGAAAAATTGAAATGTCAATGAAGAGACTACTTAGTTTTGGTTTTAGTTTTTGTACAGGAAAATCGAAGGGTTTATGTGTCATGCGAGTCTCAAGAGTCAATACGAAAAATGTTAGCAACTGTGTGAGTCTTTCATATGAGTGTGTGAATCACTGTTTCTTAAACAGCAATTCGACTGACTCGTGTCGATTTGTAGATTTGTTACGAATACTCTTTACTTTCTGTGGTAGGACTCGCGAGTTAAGTTCGAAAGAAGAAAGAGATCATAGATGCTAATTAAAAAAAATGATATTGTTTGTTGGCTTATTTCATTTTTATTTGAAACAGAAAACTTTTTTCTTACATTAATGGGGTCAATATGACCGCGATTGGTAGGTCGTTGACAAAAATAGCTTGGTTAAAATACTTCTATCAATTGCCTAAGCCTAATACAATACAAGCTAGAGTTTCGAGATGCTAAAAAAATAAATATCAATTGTTGTATCATTGTACTATAGAATATAGTTTTTTGGAAGATGATGAGAGACTAGTTCGATTTTATCTTATTCACTTTTCCGCGTTTGTTTGTGCGTGGCCATGTGATATGCCAAACCCTTTTTTTGAAGAATTTTTTTTTTACAAATTTTACATTCAATCCGTTCTCTCGTTGACTTTTCGGCATGCGTTATCATGTGACGTTTCAAGCCAACTTTGTTGAGGAATTGTTTTTTGCAAATTGTACATTGAACCTTTTCTCGCATTGATTTTTTCGTGTGCGTATCCATGTGGTATGCCAAACCGTTTGTCTGAAGAAATTGTTTACTGCAAATTTTACATTCAAACTTTTCTCTCGTTGACTTTTCCTCGTGTGTAACCATGTGACTTTTCAACGAAATTTTATGAAGAAATTGTTTACTGCAAATATTACATTCGATTTTAGCCCTTTCTCTCTTATGGATTTTTTTATGACTGGGTAAATGGTGTCGTCGCATTTTTTCCGAGCGAATGTCACATTTGATAATTTCTTGTTCGTGTTGCAAGCGCTTCCGATAATCTTCAGGGATGGTATGTTTGGAGTGAAGGTGCTTTCGTGGCCTTAATTTATCCTTATTTGCAAATGGTTTTGCATCGGCGGCAGTATAGAATACATTATTTTTTCTATGGAATATCATATGCGCTCCCAAATTGGCTTTGAGTCGAAATGACTTGTGACAATAATCGCATTCAAATTGAGCAGTATGGACTTCTTTATGACTCGTCACACTGTTGGCTTTCAACTTGTTTGAACAATTTTCCGCAGCATTTCGTTCATATTCGTCTCTCGCCAGTTGTCTATCGCCGAACCGCTGCTTTTCGCCAAAAAACGAGTGAACAAACTCATCATCACCAGTCCAAACGTCACTGTGTTCGTTTGATTTTTTCGCAATAATGTACTTGTCAGCGTTCCCTTGTTGAATTCTATGCTTTTCCGTCCAATGATCACGAAACTCTTGAGACCAAGTGCCCGTGAAGTCACATTCCGTGCAATTGTACGTTGTGGTCTCTTTTTGGTGGAATTCTTCATAGTGTTTGATCAATTCGGTTGCATTATCGAATTCGACTACATTGTCACACAATTGACAAGCATTTGTAATTGTTGGTCGACGAAACGTCGATTTAACCAGTTCAATCCATTTGGACCGATAATTCTTCCGTAGAAATCCTTCATCCAAACTTATAGTAAACTGATGATGCGTATCAATGTCAATGTGTTCAATTTTTGGCTTGATTTCGACTTCGTTTTCGCCCCAAATCAATCGCACATTATCTGCTACGCTCATATGTTGATAATAGTTCACATCGTCTTCGATTTCATTTTCATCGCAGTTAATCACTTCATGGTTATTTAGGCTCGGATCTGATTTGTCTTCGATTCCAACATCATCGTTTATTTCACTTGCAACGTTTCGGTGTATCAATTCTTCGTACAGTCCCCAATCTGGTTCATCTTTGATTTTGAACATTTTTGCACGATCAACTTGTTTCGATGGAATATTTCTCGTTGAACGATTATTTTAAACTGATACTGCGATTGGAATAAAGCGAGTCTCATAAATATCTGACGGTAGAGTTGAAAATGACAATGTGACACTGGCGACGAAATAAAGCGGTTGTTTTACTTTTCTTCACTAATTTTTCCCACAGTCGATTGTCTTTGGTTTTGCACAAGTTTGAATATAGACGAGCGGCAGCATTTGAAGTTTGCATGAAGCGCCAACTTCATGTCAATGTGGTCAAACTGCGTTTTGACGTTTCTCTTCACTTCATTTCATGTGGACGATTTTGTATTAAAACTTTAAAACTTTGTAAATAAAGTTAAGACTAACAGCAGTTTTTTTTTTGTCTGGAATCTTACCATTAAAATACGATTAAAATGGATATTTTGAAAGCAGAAATCGAACGGAAGCGAAAACTTCTTGAGGAAAAAAACTTGGTGGTGAGTATCATTGTCAATGGAACAAAGTCAATTGGAAACGTTTTACTTGGTACTCAATTTATTCATTTATTTGATCCAATAGAGTGGCAACAAAAAATTCTTCAAACGCGGCGATTTACTTGCCCAAGAAAAAGAAACACATTCAGAAGCACACGGCAGACAAAAAGAGAGTACATCGACACCTGAAAAAAGTTCGGATTCACGTAAGTCAACTGGCATTGAATGCATTGTTTGAAACGCAGTTTCGATTCATGCTGTAGAGAAATTCACTTTGAATAGATTATTATCTGTGACTTTGAATGGCCACAAACCATCTGGTACTAACTTCCTTTCATTTATTCACAGAAATGAAATCAAATTTGAGTCCCGAACAGAAGGAGTTACCGCGAATCGAAGTGATTCGTCGGTTGCGTGACCGGAACGAGCCGATCCGTTTGTATGGCGAAAGTGATCGCGATGCATTCCAACGTTTGCGCCACATGGAAATTACACAGCCCGAAGTGCAGCATGGTTTTCGCAATGATTTCAAAGATGCGATGGACGAAGTGGATCAGCAATATTTGACGGAAATCCTTGCTTCATCCGAACAAAACCAACAGAAAATTGAGGAACAACAAGAGATTGACGCACTCGACGATTCAATTACTTACGATAAAATCCTAGAGATGGCCAAACGCTTGGGCAGAGGTAACAAAGACCATGATCATTTGGTGATTGCCACACTGTTGGAATTTCTACTCAAACTATGGAATGCACAAGTGAATTCACAAAAAGATCGTTCGACAAATGTAAAAATCGCCCGTGCTACTTACAATCAAACAAAAGTATACATGAAACCACTGCTGCGAAAGCTGAAAACACGACAAATCCCAGACGATATTCTGGACAGTTTGGTCGAAATCATAAAACATTTACTGTCCCGAAATTATATTAAGGCAAGTGATGCATATTTGCAAATGGCCATTGGAAATGCACCGTGGCCAATTGGTGTAACTATGGTTGGTATTCACGCACGTACGGGTCGTGAGAAAATTTTCTCCAAGAATGTGGCGCACGTCATGAATGATGAAACTCAACGGAAATATATTCAAGGACTCAAACGACTGATGACCAAATGCCAAGAATACTTTCCAACTGACCCATCACGCTGTGTAGAATATGTGAACAAAGACAAGAATCCATAACATCCGGCGAATGAAACACAACCCACCAACGATTTCATTTGATATTTTCATTATTTTAAACATTTCTTTTTTTATTTAGAATATTTTCATTGTCAACAATAAAAGTAGCGAGTCGGAACAGATTACAGTGGCTTTTATTTTTTACATTGTCCCAATTCGTTATTTCGTTCAGCTGCAGCGCCGACAGCATTGATGAATGCATTACGAATACCTACTTTTTCGAGCTCATGCACACCAACGATGGTTGATCCACCAGGGGAACAAACCTGATGAGATGAAAAAGAAATTTTGGTTATTTTAAGCAAATTTGAGTGTGTTTGAATTTTGAACTTTGAAGTCTGCGTTAAATTTCTCTTATGGATTTTTATTTTATGAGCTACATTGATGCTGTTAGTTTAGTGCTCTTCAGATGCCCATTTTTACTCACTTCATCTCGTAAGACGGCCGGATGTTTTTCTGTTTGTAGAACAGTTTTGGCCGCACCGAGCACTGTTTGAGCTGCAAACTGCAGTGCCATTTGACGTGGAACACCTTGTTTAACAGCACCGTCAGCTAACGCTTCAATCACTGTGAATACCTGTAACAGTCGTTAATCCCATTATTATGATTCACAATTGACGATTTGTTTACATTGTCATTTCAATGTAAAATTATAGAACAACATACATAGGCCGGTCCACATCCAGATAATCCTGCAACGGAGTTGATCATTTTTTCAGGTACTTGTTGTGCGATACCCAGAGAGTTAAGAATCAAGTGGATTTTTTCCACATCTTGTGTGGTAACATAGCGACCGGGTGTGTAAACAGTACATCCTTCACCGACTTGCATCGGTGTATTCGGCATCGTTCGTATAACCTTCAAATTGTTCATAAAGCTGAATGCCTATTTGACGCAATAAATAAAAAAAATTATAGAAATTATCATAGAGTTGACTCGTATTGTTGAAGAGAGACTTTGAGAGACTTAAATAGAAAACTACTCGAAAGTTTAAAAAAGAAGGAAAAAAAGGCTTAAGACATTTCATTCTCTCCCTTCGAATACCAAAAACCTACCAATTCCAATTGATCCAGTGTAACACCGGCTAAAACCGATACAAACAATTTGTCCTTATCAAAAACCATGCGTTCGATGCTGCCTTCGACTTGCTGGGCACAAGTATGCAGTAAATGCGGTTTGACACAAATGAAAATGATGTCACATTTCGTCACCACAACGCCGTTGTCTTCGGTTACATTAGCTCCCAGCACACGCCATTTCTCCAAATTCACCAGATTCGGGCCCGAAACGACAACTTGCGTTGGCTTTATGATTCCTGAAAATACGAGAGCAATAAATTGGTTCAAAAAATGGGGATTAAATGCGTGCGGATCAACAAGTGAGAGATCAAAGCAATTGCAAATACCTCGATTTATTAAACCGTAACCAATAGCGAAAGCCATGTTACCACCACCCAAAAACCCAATCCGCTCATCTAATTTTGCCATACTTTTAGCGCCACACGAAATCTAGATCAAACTGGAAGTACCATATGATTTCACACACAAAAACTGTAACATTTGGATGAATGAAATTAAAAGTTCTACTTGGTTCTTTTTTTCAAATATTAAAGTCCAGTGATGATTCACTCTAACCACATGTGCTCCAATTCTAGGATGAACTTCTCAAAACCACTGCACAATTTGCAAACGCTTTACCATTGGGACATCATCAAAAATTTACAGTAAATGTGAATAAGGTTTTTGGACAATGCTATGGGGAAATGGTGCTTTGGAGCAAGGGAACATTGGGGACAAAACAAATGGGCAACTAAATATGAATGACAACAAACAAATCGCTAACTTTGATCGTTATGCAGCAAAATACAAGTCAGAGGTCAATTTGTCATTTTTTTAAGGCTTTCCGTTCAGTTGTTTTCGTTAAACACTTGTTCATTATTTCAGACTTTTGTTCAACATTCCGTCAAGTGTTAACATGTTCACCGTCACAATTTCGTTTAAATTGTCTCTTTCGTTTGCACTTTGTCATTTGTTTACGAATAAATGCACATATCAATGTGCATGATATGAAAAAGCATCAGGTTTTATAAACTGGATTACGCTTAGTTTTGGAATAATGGGAAAGCAAATGTGAGTCTTAGTTTTGGATTAACTCAATATTTTCCCACAACACACGTGATGTTTGATCAAAAGCAAAACGATAATAACAGTTTTGCTGTGCACACATGCCGATTTATAAGCAACACGTTGCATAGCGACGTTTATCACACCTCATTTATAATCGCAACATTTTTAAACGTACCGTTATTTATGAGTGATAAGCCATTTGGATCTATTTGATTGATAAATTGTTGAAATAGTTGCAGTTTTTTATGATCATCTGTATTTCAAGAAGTAAAGCACATGAAGTTTGTGCGAGAGAGAAAGAAGTGAGCTCAAAAGTATTTTGGGAAAGTTTAATGGAGGTGGAATTTTCGGAATCTTCAGCTATTGTCTCATGTTTATTGATTGAATATCGGAAACGTTGAAACAATAAGAAGAAGAATGAAAAAAAAACACGAAACTTAGAGAAAACAAACGGTACATTCGGGTCGAGACCAATGTTAACAATCCGAATTATTTTTTCTATGCAGGCTTCGAAATCTTCGAAGCGAAATCTTCGCCGAAATAAAATCGATCCACAATTAAGATTAAGAAAATAAAAGATGAAAAGTATCGTAAATCACACAAGGATTTTGAATGAAACGAAGATGATATTGGTTCGAGCATAGCTGTTACATGAATAAGTGGGTTATAAAGTCTCATTGGCAATTAGAACACAAATTGACCGTATCGATGAATGATGAAGGGAAAAAAACATGAAATAAAACTACAGTGAATACACGACCGCTCACACGATATATGTTTATGTAATTATTGTTTCCACACACACACACACACACACACACACACACACACAAATCGATAAATTTTAAACGGCAATCAAGAAAAATGAAAAATTCAAAGTAAATAATTTACTGAATAAATGTGGTTGTATTTTTCTCAGTTGATGTTTGCTCAATTTTACAGATGCGAAACGTAGTTGGGTTTTATTTTCCTACTGTGACACAGCCGCTTCTTCTCACTACTCGCACTGAAATATAAATATATGTATCGGATAGACTGTTTTGTCGATCAACGCAATTGATTGAGACATTTATGATTGCATTTTGCTACGACATGAAGTTGATTCAAATGTCATGGTCAACTCGTTATCAAAATTGAAAAATAGCCCACACAAACCGAATCGTTGTACAAAAATGAAATTTAGTTGCGTGTCTCGATTTTCTCGGAAATGAAAAGAAAACGAACAGGCATTGAACTATGCAGATTAGATTAAAAAAAAAGATAATTTGGTGTTTGATAGTTTCGATAGAAAAATTGTACGAGGTTCAATAAAACGAAATTTCGAATAGTGTGAAAAGTGTGGAATTGGTGTGAAGTTGGTTTCATCGATTGAAAACAGCAACGCATTGCCTCGCGCCATCAACACCAATACACCACGGCCATGTGCATATGCACGCACACCGATGCACACACATTTTATGAACAGCTGTTGCTGTTCAGTTGCTATTGGATTTGAGGCCCAGTTTGTAGTAGTCTCCAATCTATGTCGCGTTCATCAACACACGACTCAGTCTTAGAATATACTTGGTGGCGTACGTACATCACATACAGCACAGCACATCTATATATTTATTATTATTTTTTCTTTCTGTTTTCTGTTCGAGTGATAAGTGAATCGAAACTTAGGGATTTCCATCAATAAATTTCAATTACAGTTGATATAAAATTGACGAAAAATCGATCTGAAATTTTATGGTGCCGCAAAAACAAACGGAAATTGTTTAAATTTTGAGATTTTCATTCCCGTTTCGTATTTGACTGAAGCCAAAAATTGTGTGAACGAGAGAGAGAGAGAGAGAGAGCGACCAGACACACGTACGTACAGTTGCACAGAGCAATTTAAACGAGCAACCACGAAGAGAGTGAGCGTGTTCGAAGGAGAGAGAAACAGCACGCGTGTGAGAGAAACAAACAGTGAGAGTGTTGCAGGAGAATAAAAGAGAACGAAACATCAAAAAATGACAATGATTTCAAGTTCTCGCTTTATTGGCGTATTTACGTTTTAGCCAGCCGCCATTTTTATTTTTATTATGAACACTTCACATCGTGTGCTTTTATTATTCTCTCCGCATTCACCACATAAATAAATAAGACACGAAATTTATGACGAACAGGAAAAAAAAATATTCGTGAATTTCCAACAACACACAAACACACACGCACACACACACACCAAAGTTGCAAGGAACTGAAGAAAAATAAAAAATCTCAGTCGTATACACATAGGAAAAAAAAACAGAAAAGAACTGAAGTGATTTTTCAAACTCAAAAAATTTTAAATTTGTGCGGTAGAAATTTTTTTTGTTTCAGTTGAAATTCGGTAGTGCGCACTTTCCAAAATTAGTCGTTTATTTAAAATTAAAAACAACTCATTCGGACCATTAATTTTTTTCTGTTGCTGCTGTTGCATTTGAATCATCCGATTAGTTGAAATAAATTAAGCAAACGTTTTGCGAGAGTTGAACGAGAGCGAGAGACAGAGAAAAAAAAACTCTATGAATAAATCACATGGCCGAAGAGAAATCGGTTTTCGACACGAAATTTACAAGTGATAGTTTCGTATCAAAAGATTCTAATCATCAAAATCGAGCGTTGTGAAAGCAACTGATTTCAATTAATCGAAACAACAACTTAATGACACACTTTGTTTGTTCGTCCGGTGCTAGATTTATTTCTTCGTCAAAGTAAAAAACTGAACACAAATTCATGAGCAGTGCATAAAATTTGGACAAGTAAACGAATACAATTTCAAAAATTATTTTATTGTGGTGTGATTTATTGTTCCGAATTGGTAGCCGTGTAAAATTTTAGTTTTTTTTTGTTGTTTGGCCAAATTTCACCTGCGACCACAAAAACCGCACACACACACACACACATACAACAAACGAAGCCAGACAGTCGCAAGTGATTTTGAAATTGTCGTATTCAATAAAATAAAAATCGTAAAATCAAAACGTCGTATAGGAAACAAGAACAAAAGCCAAGCACAGTCGTTCCCCCTCCAATAGTGGCGATAATCGATAACAGGACTCTCTTCTAAACATCGCGCACATAGCATTTAAATTGACTAGATAAACAACCGTGAAATACAAGAAATACAAAGAAGAACAATTGATTACACAAAATGTCAACACCAAGTAGTTCAGCCGTACGTGCACTAGGATTAGAATATAAAAGTTTGCAAGAGGAGCCCGTCGAAGGATTTCGTGTCAAACTACTCAACGATGAGAATCTATTCGAATGGGAAGTAGCTATATTCGGGCCACCAGACACACTCTACCAAGGAGGTTATTTCAAAGTGAGTATTTTGTTTTATCCAGATCCCTCCCCCTCCCAAATTTATTTGTGAAACTCTTCGGAGGAAAAGAAACAAGCATTTTGTTTTCTCGTTCAGAGGTCACCCGAAACGCTTACAATAGTAGTTGGCTTGTCTGAGTCTTTCTTTCTCCCTCTACATCCCCCGAACTCGCTCTCTCTTTGTTTGGTGTGTCTTTTTCTTCCTCTCGTTTTGGTGATGTGGTTGTGATGAACGGGCGAAGAAAAAGCATTTACACGTGTTTTTATCAACAACAAAAAAAAACGAATGAGGCGAGCAGATGACGTCCTCGAATCGATTATGAATCGAATCGATTTTCTTTCTTCTTCTGTTCGAATAGGACAAATTCAATTGACGCGATTGACGTTGTTACAACAATGCAATGTATATATATATATATATATATATATTTTTCTCTCTATACGTATATATACATTTATGTTTTTTTTTTCGGTGTATGATATGCTTGATTTTTTATTTGTTTCTACTTCTGTTGCTGCTGGTGCTGTTCACAATTCGGCCTTGTGTATGTGTTGTTTGTGCGAGTGAACGAGAAAGTGAGCGTTCTTTATGGCATTTCATTTGCTCATTCTTTATTATATTGGTCGCTGTTCTTGTTGTTGCATGTCTTTTCATACACCTCTTGTGCTCTGACTTCTGAATATTTTCTCTCGCTCGTCGCTTCTGTATTTTCCCATTGCTTCGAATGATGTTGATGATGATGATGTTGTTGCTGTGGTTGTTGTTGGTATTGAGTTGATTTTCGCTCTTTGGTTCTGGTAAAACCACACGCTTGCATGAGAACATTCTCTGTGTGACCTGAAATTCATTCAAATTGAACACATATAATAGGACGCGCGCAAAGTAACAGACAACAACAACAACAACAGGAACGGGCCATATTCGTGTGTGTCATCCATCGTTGAATCATGCCAACGTTATTATCGTCATGATCATCATGGTGTGTGTTGGTTTTTTTCTCTATATTTTCTTCGTCGAATATTTTCTCTCTCTTATTCTGTACAACAGGCAGTTCATCAACGTTCAATCACGTACTTACCTGATGATATATTCAGGCATTGACATCCATCTCTTTGTCGTTAATAAATAGATCACATTTCCATCTTTGACTCTGTACATCTTTGCGTGGTGCACGGTGTCTTAGGTACATGCAACCTTATTACCGTATTTATATTTTATCTTGATGCGCCGCAGAAAAAGAAAAATTAGCCAAACCAAATGTATTCACCTCTTTCGCCCTCTCTCTCTCTCTCTCTCTCTCTCTCCCTCTAGCTCTCTGAATTTCTCGAGTGATTTTAATTCGTTCTCATGCGCTTAATTCTAACAAACTCACGCGTGTACATAGCGACAAAGAAATATAAATCTCAGCGTTATCCGAGAACAATAACCGTTTTTATATTTCAAGTGAACGAGAGAAAAGGCGAAGAAAGAAAAACAGATAAATGTACCGTATTTTCGATTCAAACGAAAATAGACTTCTTTGTTTGCATATATATCGTTGGTTCGAATTGATTGATGCGCACTTTGTATGGTTGAGTCCGTTGTTTACTGGCAGATATTTCTGCTTCGAAACAAAAAGAGAGAGAGAGAGAGAGAGAGAGAGAGAGAGAGAGAGACGAAAAACAAAAGTCGAGTAACGTGACCACGATGACTGCTGCATCATCATAAAAAAAATATAGCGATGAATCCTCTGAAAACACTCTCGACGGGCGAACAAGAAAAAGAAGCAAGACTTCGCAGGAATAGATCTCCCCTAAATATACTCAAGTCGATATGATTTTTTCTTGTTGAATAGCAGCTTGAAATAAGCTCTTGGTCGCTATTAATATTAACATTTATCCCAAATTAAATATCAATCCTTCAAACGATTTTGAGTCCAAGTGAAAGCGAAATGTAAACATTCAAAGGCTTCGGATGCTACGGAAGAAAGCACTTTGCACAGTGGATACGACAGTGGATGACTGAGAGTGAAAGAAGGAGCAAAAAAAAAACACGTGATGTTTTTGTACAAAGATTCCGCTTTCATTAATTACTGGGATGGTATCTCTTTCGTTCATAATTCCGTCTTTTTTTTCCCATTCTTCTAGGCATTATTATTCTATTGGCAATGAAAAAGAGAAAAAAAAGTATTCTTTGACACAAGCTGGTGGTAGTTTTCCAATTTTCCATTGGTTCCATCAGGCAACCAGTCAGCCAGCCATTGTCACGATGTCATTAAAGTATTCTGTTCAGCATTCAACTCTGAAGTCCGCGCACAGGAAAAGCCAATTGTGCTCTCTGTTTCTCTTTCAATCTGTCTCTTTTGCTGTTGTGTGTGCTGTGCCCGTTCACGCTCTTCTATTCACAGTGTCGATGATACTTACACGAACACGGCCGTATACATGAGAAAGAACGAAAATAACCATGCGACAGAGACCCCCTCGAAACTGTGGCGCGCAACGAAGGAGATGCGATGCACATATTGAACCATGTTGTCATTCGCAATAATACGTCTCATGTGTATTCATGATTCGTGTTGATGCACGCATACATGCTGCTGTCATACTCTCATTCGCTGGCTCGTTCACAGCATATTCAACGTGTAGGTCTCGACAATCGAATTGAGAGATATCAGAAGCTCCCTCTCATTCACCACACTATCAGTGGAGATTTCTGTATACACAAATATTATATAGATTCAGTACGAAGAAAATGCACAAGGTTTTTTTTTCTCTCTCATTCTGCGATGACCTTGCAAATGAACGATTTTGTTTTCTTTTCATTTTATTCTCTCGCTATTCTTTTTTTCGTCATTATATAAACGGAATCCTTATGTAGACGATATGAATCCAATGGTGGGTTGAACTTTCGGTTATACAGAGACACACAATCTCGCAGATGTATTAAAACAGAAAATAAAAACAAAAATTGGATCGTGAATTATGCACAAACAATTCGAAATGAGCGAACAAGTGCAGTGTGAGTTAGATGTGCTTATTTCATCTTCAGTGCTTATGCAAGTGCACATGAGAAATTCATCCGAAGATGTTTTTCAGTTTAACTTTTGATTGATGTCGATTGAGAGGCCAGTCAGACAAAACGCATCGCAATAAAGACCGTTGTCAATTGCTCGAAAACTCAAACATTTGCTGACGACGACAACAACAACAATAACGATGACAGCGATAACAACGAACATTCGGACGATCAATTTGAATTTATTCATTATATCGCATAGTGCTTTCATTTTGATAATAACAACCTAACTGGATTGGTATTTTAACGAATCTTTCCTTGAAAAATCGCTTTGATCACTTGACTATGATGGAATATGAACAACGTCACATACACTCGCATAACACACACGGTCAAATATCTAAATTACATTTCAGTTTCGATTCGCTCATTCGAGTTAATCAAAAACGTTTGTTTTGAGAGAGCAAGAGAGAGAGAGAGAGAGAGAACGGTTGACTGAGATAAGTATGAAATAATTAGTTGATTTGTTTTCGCATTTGTATCGAGAAAGAACGAGAGAAACAGTCGTCGTCACTCATGAACTGGATTTCTTGATATCCGTATTGTGTCACTTCCTTTCCTACTGATATGAAATTGTTCTATCGTCTATTTTATGCGCCTTGAGTGTGTGCGAGTATGCAGTTTATTTTTTTCTTGAATGATTATAAAGCATGATGATGCGGAATTCTCCTGGCAACGATACATACGCAAAAGTTGTTCCTAATTTAAGTGACCCATGTTTATGTGTGTGTGTGTGTGTGTGTGTGTACGTATGTATGTGCGATGAGATAGTCAATATATTGAATAATAAGACCTTTTCAACGATTCGTTTCCTATTTCTGGCTGATCCATTGGCCAATGACACAACGCAAATATTCAATGAAATTTGCAGTCGTTTCTGCGCTGCACCGAACGTAATGAATAAATTTATCCAGGGAAATGCGCAAATAGCTCATTGAATGCGAGAGAACAAACTCGAAAAAAAACAGCACATACACGTACTGCCGCAGCAGCAACTCATAGCCGCAATCGAGCAAAATGTGTTGTTGTTGTCGTTGTTGTTGTTGTTGGGCTTTGCCAATCAAGTGTGACAGAGATGCCAAATCGAGGACAAAAAGTGAGCGAGATAGATGAAGAGAAATACAAAATAAAGACCGAATAAAAAAAAGAACACAACTGTATCTTACGAGCCTCATTTCATTTATACACATGTGCACATATTGGAGGCCTGACCTCAGATTTGTTTTCATTTAAAATTTTATCTCTTTCTTGCAGTCGTCATTCGCAAATCGCTTGCCTCTTTCGCTCGATCTTCTTTCCTTTTTTTTTTTTTTTTCAATTTTCTGTATTGTTATCGATTCGAATAAAACATCACGTTCAGTTGTGGCCAACACACATGAACAGCGCAGCGAATCCAATGACAAAGAATTTACTTTTAATCATCATTTCGTTCATCATGTTCCTGTTACGCTTGCCGTTGAACTATAGGAAATCAAATTGTTGTTATTGTTTGCCGTGTTTTTTTCTCTCTCTTCTCTCTCGGTAACGATTCCGTAGACAATATGGTTCGCACAATTTGTTTTTCACGTTGTTAGTTGATTTCTCTAATGAAATCGACTGAATATGTTGTTGAGTGCTGATTATTGCATCGCGCGTCACCGTTCAATTTTCGAAATGTGAAAATGATGAAGAGAGCGCTGACCATCAAAGACCCAACACTGAATCGAATTTCGGCTTTTTTTTTAACAACCGATACATCATATTTTCTGCATACGATACCGCGCTCACGCGCTCAATATTCAATTGCGGTTCATTTGAAATTTGTGTATCGGTTTTTGCCTATTTAATTTCATTTTTCTTTTGTATTATCGATTTCAAAGCGAACAACATTTTCGGCCTCGCTGTTTCAATTCAGAAAATGGAGGAAATTCTGTAGAGCGTATGTGTGTATGGGTTAGTTGTGTGTTATATGCGCTATTCGTTTTTATACACAAATTTCATTAATCCAAAAAATATGTATATATCGAATTTGTGTGTTACGTGAAAATGCGACTTGTTATCAATAAGCCGATTTCACAAAACATATATTTGGCGCAACACACACCTACACCATGCGCAAGTATGACAAACACAAACCAAAAATATATACATCCATTTACCGCAATCAGAATGACGAATCACTTTACATTGAATTTTTTTTTTAGTTCAAATTTTTTCGTATTTTTTTTATCTCGGTCTTCAGTCGAATGACTGTTCTATTTAATGACCGATGACTCAATTAATCTGTCGGAAAATTTTATCAATTAAATCGGTACAGCTAGCTGCTAGGTTTCTTTCGTTTTTTTTTCAAGAAAATAAGTTATTTATCAACATTTTTGTGTCGATATAAAATGTCTAATGGCGTTGTTTTACAATTTTGTACACATTGGTTCATGCCATGGATTTTTTTTTTCAAATCAGCTTTTGCTGGTTTGAATTATATAAGCCGGGGCCATAAGCTGATTTTGTATGTTACTCAAGAGTGCTTGACTTTTTAAGCCGAGCAATCCATGTCAGTGGAATCCCCATGTTCAACGCTGTCTGAAATGGGCTGATATTGAGCCAAAATTTGGAATTATCCTCAATGATATTTTGATACGGAGCCCGCATCAATGTCGTCGTCGTCGTCAAAGAGTTGCACCAAGCCAAATAAGTCAAGTGTATATAATAAGTTCTTTTTCGGTGAAAAGAGAAACAAACAAACAAATACAAAATGGAATAACAAAAAATTGCACGACTCGACAACGACGACGACGATGACAATGGGGCCTGATCAATGTCTGAGTGGTTATATCACTGGGCGTGCACATTTTGTCTGTATCAACATTTTTAATATTTTAACGAATTGACGTGCTTAACAAAAAAATCATTTTAAAGTCAAATTTTCAGCTTCAATCAGCGGCATAACGAAACAAAGACAAACCCAAAATTACGCCGTTCCCAATGCACGCACAATTTAAAAATAGATTTCTGAGAGCAAAAATATGAAAGAAAAAAAAAATTTAAAAATTTCGAACATTCGTATTTGATTTACTGATTAATTTTTTTCCATTCGTTTCATTTCAGGCACACATGAAATTCCCGCTGGATTATCCGTACTCACCGCCATCAATACGCTTCTTGACGAAAGTTTGGCATCCAAATGTCTACGAAGTAAGTATATCGTCATCGAGCTTATAAGTTATGCTTGTGCAAATGATAACAACAACAACAATAACCGCAAAGCAGTAGCAAAAAAAAAGAAAGTTTGCCGAAAGAAAAAGGGGAAAATCGTGCCAACTTTGTTGGATTCTCTCTGTCTCGTTCGTTTTTTCTCTTCGTTCACACTCTTTTCCAGCTGATAATACTGCTGGCGGCTTACCGCATATCGCGCTTCATATGTTGAATAACCTTTTTTTTTCATTCACTTCCGATCTCTTTCTCTTGCTCTCGTGCGCTAGAAAGAGCGTTCGTTGTAACGTTATTGTAATTACTTTTTTAATAATTTTGTTTATATCGCATTTTGGAATTACATATTGCACGCCAATAAATCGTATGCAACGTCGTTTCAATCGATCAGACTGCTCAGTCTAGACGAATATAGATTTGTAGGGAAACGAACCAACGAACGAACCAAAAAAAATGTGTTTCCACACCAAAATAAGAAATAGACGCATATATAGCCATATAGCGTCGATCTATTCCGTGTGAATTGTATAATGAGCCTATATTACTATTGAATTCAATTACACACATGAATGGAGACACACATACACAACGCACCATACCATATGCATAGAGGCGCTCTCTCAACTTGATTCGCTTCGACTGCTAACGAACAATAATGATAATGTGATGAACAACAAAGAGAAAAAAACAACAAAAACAGCAGCAGCAGCAGCAACAACAACACAAAATTATAATATCCAAAGTGTTTGCAAAAATAAAATCATGGTCAACACGTTGTATATATATATATACATGGACAATGGACATACATACACAATACGGATCTAGTGCACAGCACAAATATTGAAAATTGCTTTTTGACTTAAATGGGGATTTGTGTACGCACTACCGCATTGTTTGGTGTAGTATTGTGCCGTTATACATTTTATGCTCGTTTTTTTTTGTTTCTTCCGCGGAACGACATCAAATTGATGGATTAGACGTGCTTACGAAGCTTTAATCATAGGCGATGCCAATTTATCTATCTTTAAATCAAACCGCCGATTTATATCACTTCAAGTGATCGATTAGTATCAAGTATTTACTTCATCGAGAACATTTTCTCATTTCTCTGCTTCTTTGCTCTTATTACAGAATGGTGATCTGTGTATCTCAATATTGCACCCACCGGTTGATGATCCGCAAAGCGGTGAATTGCCATGCGAAAGATGGAATCCAACACAAAATGTGCGCACGATTTTATTGTCAGTGATTTCCCTGCTGAACGAGCCAAACACATATTCGCCTGCTAATGTTGATGCGTCGGTCATGTACCGCAGATGGCGTGATTCTCATGGCAAGGATAATGAATATCCAAATATCATCAGGTAAATATTATAGACGATTTTCGGTTTGAGACGAGAAAAAAAAAACAACGGTCGATTCAATTAGATTGGATGAAAGAGACCAAGAAAAAAGCGCAGTGATTACACACATTCATAGTCATCCATGGTGGGCCGTTGTCTAGCCGTCGACGACAACTGGCCATCAACCACGACGACGACGACGACGACTGTGACGATGAAAGACATTTTCAAATTAAAAACACTTGAAAACTAATTGTGACTTTGTCTGGCCGCTTTGAACAACCTTTTTTTCGGTCGTCATCAATTGATATGAATTTCAAATGAACACGGGCCAATCCGTTTCTAAAATATTTATGTTTAATTGCTTCGTTTAGGAAACAAGCTCTAGCAGCTAAGGCCGAGGCTGAAAAGGAGGGCATTGTGGTTCCATTAACTTTAGAGGATTATTGTATAAAACCAAAAAGTAAACCAAGTAATCAAGATCCACCAGTAAGTATCCACCTTTCCTTTGAGTCCAAAGTCATTTTTGTTTAAGCCATGAAACTCATTTGATTTGACGAAAAATTAAAGCGTTTTTATTGAAAACTGTTCTAAATGCTTCACTTTTATTCACCTCACCAAAAACAGTTGGACATGACTGATTTCTACGACGAAGATTATGATCTCGATACAGATGACGATGATGATGAACAAGAATCCAACGCCTCCGAGTATGCTGATGGCGATGACAGTGGCAACGGCGAAACATAGAACCCGAACCATTAAATCAAAAAAAGAAGAAGAAGAAGAAGAAGAAGGAAAAAAAACAACCAGTTGAAAATATTATTATTATTATTCTTTATTTTTTGTCTCCACAAATATTTTCTCTTTTTTTTGTTTTAAATTTACGAACTGAATTCGAACGAACAGACAAAATTGATTACAAATCAAAGCAATTGAAGTGTTGATATCATTTAAAAGGCATAAAAACAGGCAACAAAAAATCACTCAACCTAAAATTAAAAAAAAAAAAAAACAAACACATATTTTAGTAAATGTATCAAAACAAAAACAAAAATCTGGTGACAAACATTTCATTTGCAGGATCTTAACACGTCGACAAAGAAAACAAAAAACTTATGACGACAGTTTTAATGAAAAATTTATTTAAAATGACAATGATAAATGGCGCCATTTGAACGAACGAATGACAAGCAAATTTTCATTTATAAAAAAAACATTCGATTCGAATTGTTTTTCTTTTCTCTTTTCTACGATCCGGATGTGGGGAAGTGAGAATATGTGCAAAGAATGATTCTCTTGACGAACGAAAGAAAAAAAAAAAGGTTTGCCGACATTCGATTCAATTCACTGCTCAAAAATGTACACAATCCATTTCCCGAATTGCAATGGAATAGAAGGCACACAATCTACAAGAGATTAATTCATCCGATATTTCAGACTCCTTCCCAGTCCCCCCTTCAAGCGAATATAGTCCACGGCCGAGTTTCACAAGACATTTTCTCAGTTGCTTGCATGAAATAATGTGTGTGTGTGTGTATGTGCGCGTTCGCGAAAGTGAATTCAATTGATGATCATGCATTTCATTTCAATTTCTTGCTTGAAACTACAACTAGAAACGCTCGGGTTTACGAGAAAACCGGCGGACACAATTCTATAATAATGTGATCAAATGCAGTCCATAAGAGAAAAAAAATTCTTAGATTTTATGCAAATAACGAAATATATGTACTGCATGCAACTGTCCCACTATGCAACAAATTAACTAGCCAGCAAAATTCGAATTTTTTTTTCTATGTTTTTGTCTGTTTCATTTGAAACGCAGAAAAAAAATGTATATTTTTTTTAAGAAAAAAAAAAAACAAACAAACCCGAAAGAGAAGAAAGATTATGAAAAATTTATTTTCTTTTATTTTTTTTTTAATTATTCTTTTTATTTTTATGATAACACGCTGTTTATTTTTTTTTTTTAATTTTATTACGATTTAAGTAAGTTTTATAGAGTAATTTTCACTGAATGTGTGTATTTTTATTCTTAAAAAGAAACAGCAAAAAGAAAAGGAAAATGAAACGGAGTACGTGTCCAGAAAACCGAAGAAAATGTATCACAAAATAGTAGACAGAATTGTATTGAATCGATGAACGATGACAACGGATAGACCATTTTAGGGAAAAAAGAGACAACAACAAAAAAAATGAGAATTAATTATATTTGAACAAGTAGAGAAAGAGAGTGAAAGTGGGTGGAAATTGAACATTTGTTTTTTGTGTCTTCGTACACAGCCAAATTGCATCGCGTACATATTTGCCCCACATAATTCCACAGGTTTTTATTTATTTATGCTTTTAAATTATTATTGTATATTTTTTGTTGTTGTTCCATCAATATGTATTAAAGAAAATGGCAACTCTTCATGTTCCCATAAGCAAAAAAAGGTTAAAAGAGAGAAAAAAGTATCTATGGAAAATGCACAGACATGCACACACACATACAAACATTGCCATCACTCGCCAGATGACCAAAATGAACCGAACCGTTTTCTCGTAATTCGGAAGAAATTGTGAATCCATAAACAAAACAAAAAAAAACAACCAAACCCAACAAACTAGCAACAACTCATTTTTATTGTGAATTTAATGCAAAAAAGCAAAAAAAATAAAAAACAATGAATTGCAACCGAATGGCAAACAAACGAGAAACAATACAACCATGCACTAAGAATACCAACTCTACACACACACACACATCGTTTAGAATAGACAACCAAGAATACATGCATTGTAGGTTGTCCGTTCAATCGACAAACCAACAAATAAACTAAAACAAATGTGTTAATTCATTTGCGATAAACAGAAAGAAAACAAAGCAACCAATTCAGAGTCCGTTTTACTTTTCTTCTCTGTTCAAATGTAGTAGTGATATATACATTTAAGTGAGATTACAATAACTTCAGAAACAATAAAAAAAACTGCAACTGCAACAACAAAACTTATATACGCAACCATGAATTTCAACAAAATGGATCTATAGGCATTAAAACGTTTTAAAATGGATGGCCAGCAAATGGCACATAGATTTAATTAAATTATTTGTAGCTTATGTTGCGACAAAATCGGAATTTATCTCATCGCAACATTGATTATTTCTCTCTCTCTCTCTCTCTCTCTCTTTTCCGTTCATTTTTTCTCTCTCTGATTCATTTAACAAGTGCAACCGACACATGTCAATGGCGGTTTTTTTTAAAAAAAAAAAGTGAAATTATATAGAAATGAAATAAATTGAAAAAAAAAACATGCAAATTGTGTTAGGAATACAAAAAAATAATGAAATAAATGTGTATTTAAACAAAACAAAAAAAAAACGGAAAAGAAAACTGAAAATTAAAAAGAAAACAAATGCTAATTCTACTTATTCCGGAATGAATTGCAAGCTGAGACAACCACTCAACCATTATATTTAGGAGGTGAAATATCGTTTTCTTCTTTTCTTTCAGTTTCTTTTGTCGAGGAAAATAACAATAAAAATTATCATAATGAATACGACATAGACGTGGTTTTATTTTCCTCTTTACACATTTTCAAGCGAATTTTAATGCAGATTCTATTTGAAAGGCAGAGTCTGCTTCACAGACAATTGCAGATTTCGGCCAGAAAATATAAACTTTTTTTTATACGCTGGTTCGTAAGCCAGTGAAAGAGAAATAATTTCATTTTTTTTTCTTAAATCATAAAATAAATATTGTCACTGACAATTGACAATTTTTACGCCTGCATTTATACTTAATTGTTCTGTTGATATTGAATCAACCAAAAACATAGGTAACTCATCTACAAATTGGTCTTCGATTTCGATGCCTCTTTTCTCAGTCCGAAAATTTTATATTTATTCCAGTTTGGTAAATTCCAATCCATCTTTCGAAATATTTCATAAAAGACCCACCCATTCTTCACCGATTTTTGATGTGAATATGGTAAAATCGAACAATAGGGCAAAATCTTTCAATCATAATGTTTCAGCTAAACGTCTGCGAAGGGAAAATAAAGGTAATTGCAGAATAGTCAAGCGAAAAATTGTGACTTCAATGAATTCGCCGCCATTGGATACATACGAACAAAACCTTATAACGTCAATTCAATGTCCATGAAACGTGATCTACACATTGTTTTGGTGCATAACAACGTTTTACCTCGTTGTGAACAAAATTTACATTGAAATGACACACATTTTTTTGTTTTTATTGTTCAGTTTCAAACAATTTCTATTTTCAATTTAAAAAAAAAGATTTTCTGTCAAATTTCCATGAGAATGTATTCCATCTCCGTGTTGTAAACACTTCCCCCACGAATGGTTCACGGGCAAAACATAGTAAACATTGTCATGCTTTTAATGTTGACAAGCGATTGTGTGGCGAATTCGGTATGTTGACTGCGACAACCCGAACGGTGTGTTCAGCGGCGAACGGATAATATGTTTGGATCAATGTATTTTCTTCATTTTCGAATTTTAGCAAAATGTATGGGCTCAATAAAGGCAAAAAAATGGCTTGCTAAAATAAAGAAATATCTGCACAAAATCCGTCAACAAATTGTCTGTCATGAATTTGTCTAAAAACAATGGGCGCACATAAAAATCCAACGTTTAAAGTCGTGTCGCGCCGAATGTGTTTGTCTCTGTGTTTTTTTCTTCTCTCGTTCATTTTTGACATTCCTCTTTTTTCAGCACATACTCACGCGTGCGGCGACAAGTACAAAATAAATAAAATATATGCTTCTGCTCCATAAATTGCACTTACCGAATGCAAAAGTGACTGCAAAAAAACGTTTTTCCGATACATTGGCGTACAGAACGATCAAAAGATACAAAATACACAACATTTAATTGCATACAAACGGCAACAAAAAAATAAATCGAATTCAGCTTTAGAACATTACGGAGAAGTGTCATTCATATTGTATCGTGCGGTGTGTATGTGAAGAGTATCTCTCGCTTCAGTTTGTGTCGAGAGACGTTTTCAAACGAAACGTGTTTCTCGCAACCAATTGAGTGATCAGAAAAAAGAAAAAGAAAAACAAAGCAAACCTGCTGATTGTTTATCGTTTAATTTTTGGTGTGCCAGTGCAACCAATTTGTTGAATTCACCATTTGCAGCGGCAAATAATTGGAAAAGTGTGCAGATAAATTAAAACCACAGACAAAATGTCAAAGAGACGCATTGAAATGGATCCATTTATTAAGAAACGGCGGTAAGTTTAGTAACAGCATGGTGTGCGAAACAAGCTGTACACAGATGTTGATCACATTGCAATGTTCTGAATTCAAATAAGGCATTTTCATTCATTTACGTGTGTGTGTGTTTCGTTATGCATTTCAGTGAAGAAAAAGGCATTCCAGTTGATACGGGTTCGGGACCAGCGTCGAGCGCTCAAGCAACAACAACATCAAATCTACTGCAAAGTGGCGCTGGAGCCACTTCAACAACCACACGCCAAAATTCAGTGAATCCATTAAATAATCAACCGTATTCGCAACGTTATTACACCTTGTATCGCAAAAGGATAACACTGCCGGTGTTTGAGTATCGTGCGGATTTTATGCGATTGCTGGCGGAAAATCAGTGCATTGTACTCGTTGGCGAGGTAAGTTTACTGTAGAATTAACCCATTCATATTTTGTCTATTGTCAAACGTTTACTCTGAATTTTAATCACACCAATATCGTCTCAATTTCCCATTTAGACTGGTAGTGGTAAAACTACACAAATTCCACAATGGTGTGTCGAATATGCCCGTTCGATTGGTTCAAAGGGTGTTTCATGTACGCAACCCCGTCGAGTGGCCGCAATGTCTGTGGCCCAGCGTGTTTCAGAGGAAATGGATGTGATACTGGGCCAAGAGGTGGGCTATAGCATTCGGTTCGAGGATTGTTCGTCACCATCAACGGTGCTCAAATACATGACAGACGGTATGTTGTTGCGTGAAGGTATGAGCGATCCAACACTCGATGGATATCAAGTGATTTTACTCGATGAAGCGCACGAACGTACATTGGCCACCGATATTCTGATGGGTGTACTGAAAGAGGTGATTCGACAGCGAACCGATTTGAAATTAGTGGTGATGTCGGCCACATTGGATGCGGGCAAATTTCAACAATATTTCGATAATGCACCGCTAATGAATGTACCCGGTCGTACGCATCCGGTCGAAATTTTCTACACACCCGAACCGGAACGTGATTACTTGGAAGCGGCCATTCGAACGGTCATTCAAATTCACATGTGCGAAGAGATTGAAGGTGATGTTCTGATGTTTTTGACTGGACAAGAGGAAATCGAAGAGGCTTGCAAACGAATTAAACGTGAAATTGATAATTTGGGCCCCGAAATGGGTGAATTAAAGTGCATACCATTGTATTCAACACTACCACCCAATTTGCAACAAAGAATTTTCGAACCACCACCGCCAAACAAACCGAATGGTGCCATTGGACGTAAGGTTGTGGTGTCGACCAACATTGCCGAAACATCGTTGACAATTGATGGCGTCGTGTTTGTCATTGATCCCGGATTTGCTAAACAAAAGGTGTACAATCCGCGTATTCGTGTGGAAAGTTTATTGGTTTCACCGATCAGTAAGGCATCGGCACAGCAGCGTGCTGGACGTGCCGGCCGTACGAAACCCGGAAAATGCTTCCGACTATACACCGAAAAAGCGTACAAAAATGAAATGCAAAGCAATACATACCCGGAAATTTTACGGTCAAACTTAGGTAAATGGTCCATCTGTTGATATTTTATTTATGAACAAATGGCATTAACAAACGAATACTAATCACAACTGTGTTTCATTGTTTCAGGAACTGTGGTGTTACAATTGAAAAAATTGGGCATTGATGATTTGGTACATTTCGATTTCATGGATCCACCGGCACCAGAGACTCTGATGCGTGCACTTGAGCTATTGAATTATTTGGCCGCACTCGATGATGATGGCAATCTAACCGATTTGGGTGCCGTCATGGCAGAATTTCCACTGGATCCACAGCTAGCGAAAATGTTAATTGCCAGCTGCAACCATAATTGTTCAAACGAAATTCTTTCCATCACAGCTATGTTGTCGGGTAAGTGCATCTAGGTTTTTCGCTGATCTACAAGAATTTTCTTTTCAAAAGGAATCTTTTGTTGTTTCAATTTGAATTGAAATCAAACAAAAATAGAATCATTTGAAATATTTTTCTCTTTTCACAGTACCTCAATGTTTCGTGCGACCAAATGATGTGAAGAAGCAAGCAGATGAAGCAAAGATGCGCTTTGCACACATCGATGGCGATCATTTAACACTGCTAAACGTTTACCATGCATTCAAACAGAGTAAGTATAAATTAGCTGCTCATTTTTCTCCGCACCAAAATGCCTTCATGCCTTTCTTACGAGAATCGATGAAATTAATGGAAAATTGTTACATTTTTTAGGCAACGAAGATACAAATTGGTGTTACGAAAATTTCGTTAACTATCGATCACTAAAACAAGCCGATAATGTGCGTCAGCAACTGTCACGGATTATGGACCGATTTAATTTAAAACGAACCAGCACAGATTTCTCATCGAAGGATTATTACATAAATATTCGAAAGGCCTTAGTTCAGGGTTTCTTCATGCAAGTATGTGAATCAATTTGAATGGCCAAAACATACGTTTTCATAAACGATCGATTAAATAACGAACTAATTTCGTTTCTTTTCCATTTTAAAGGTTGCTCATTTAGAACGAACCGGACACTATTTGACGATCAAGGACAATCAAGTAGTGCAATTACATCCGTCAACCTGTTTGGATCACAAACCCGATTGGGTTATCTACAATGAGTTCGTATTGACAACGAAAAATTACATACGAACGGTAACTGATGTTAAACGTAAGTGTTTTCATCACTTTGAATGGGAAAATTGCAAATTTTAACGGCCATTTCATGGTTTTAGATCAACTATGGTTTTTAATATTATTCGTTATAAGAAATCGAAAAATGTACAAAATCAATTGATTAACCCGAATTTTTGCTTCATATTTTGCAGCTGAGTGGCTTCTGAAGATTGCACCCCAATATTACGATATGAACAACTTCCCGCAATGCGAGGCGAAACGACAACTTGAAGTGCTACAGGCGCGCATTGATTCGAAACAATTTCAGCAAGGATTTTAAGTTAGATACAAGATTGTAATTTTATATATGATTTTAAGGATTCGAAATTCACTGAAGCACATACAAATCCAGACAGAACAGCAAATACTACTCCAATTGATTGGGAACACACTCAACCAACCACACACGAAAACCAACACAGAGTTAAGCATTCATTAATGAATCATTATTACAGAATTAATTGTAACTATAATTATAGTTTGAAAGTAGAAAAAAAAAAAACAAATGCTACTTCAACCAATGCAAGCAATGTCCACCTTCATATAGTCGACATTTATGTGTTTCCAATATTATTGCATCCTTAAATAAATGTTTTCCTAACTTTCATTTTCGTTTGCTTTTTTTGGGTTTTTTAAGGAAAAAAAGAAAAGTTTGATCAACATCCTATTATATCACTCGAAAAGTGACATTCTGAATGAAGTGTGAAGAGCAACATCTCAATTTTGTGAAAAATGAAATGTTGGAGAAAAAGAAACACAATGATTTGATTTGATAAAATTAGTCAATATGGATTTTTATGAACACAGAAAGAAAAATTATAAGAAAACAAACACTCCGACACGTTCAAGACGTTCAATTCAAATTCCGTAAATGAGATTAGTTATGCGATTTGGTTGTAATAATTTTTATTAAAATAAAAAGAAGAATAATACAAATTATAATTATCGATAGCAAATTGTACGTTAGTGAGTTGCATTTTGTTCAAAATTCAAAATATCATAAGTATAAAAACAAAGATTCATTTTTTATTTCAAACCAATTGACTTTTTCTATTATATTCAAGCCAAAAATTTCTTTAATCATTTTACATCAAATTCTGCGTTTCAATTCAACAGTTTTGTCGTCCACTTTATATATTCCTTCCCATGTGTAGCCCAATCGTTCGCGAAAACTGTTGTAATTATCACTTAGTTTAAATCGCAATTGATTCAACATTCGAAATTTAGATATGAGATTGATAGCTTCGTCAGTTGAAAATAAGCAGCAGCCTAATGAAATCTCAACTAATAATGGCAAAGATTTAGCCAATTCCAACCAATCCACATCCCCTGAGGTATCAATGTTACCAATCGTTAGATGTTTTATTTTTGAATGTTTGTCAATGAAATTGAAGAACTCTTCATTGAAGGAACTATGAAAATCTGCTTTTGGAAAGTGAATGGTTAATTTCTCGAGCTGTTCAAATGTAAAAGGTAGGAAACATTCTGGCAACTCCTCCAATTTATCAAAATGAATTTTAAACGATTTTACGCGTTTCATATGTATAATATTGTCGCTCTCTTTGATAGATGTGATTGGCTTTATATCAAGAAAAAGAGTTTCAATATTTTGCAAACTTTCAACTGCATCCCGAATCAAATTTATATTCAAATTACTGGAATTTAAGAAAAACGACTTCAGTGTAAGCTCTCTTAATTGTGGATTCAGCTGCAAAATAGGGAGCACCATATCATTTTGGAGCGATACTTCGATGTGACTAAATTCCCAAATCTGCAAATGTTCCAAATGCGGAAAATGGATTTTGTTGATGTTATAAAACGATACATTTCTGGTGTGACCACATCCTAATTCCTTCAACTTTGGAAATCTTTTAATCAGACAACTTTTCTCAGTGAAATGATAGTTCAAGTGGCCAAACATCTCAACGTTTATGAAAGGCTTTTCAAAATACGTCAAAAAATCAGCTCGATATGATGCAACTACAGGAGCTGGTGAATATATAAAAAAATCCTTCATGAATTCGGCACAATAATTGTTGATATATTTGAATAGCCTCCGGTCCCTTTGCAATTTTTCCTCAATGTCTTCTTCTATAATTCGGAAGACGGAAAAATTTATGTGTAATTTCGAAATCATGCGTCCAACACAGCGCAACAGCTGAAGAGCAGTTTTCAAATCTTCTATAACAACCATTGATGCACCTTCGGTTTTGAATAATCGAATTGGAGAAATTCGTATACTTCTGAACTGCACGACTTTATTCCCATATTTATGAGCATAAACGAGCTCCGCAGCTTTGTTCAGTCGTTTAGTTGAATCACCCGCATTCAGTAGATCAATCAGGTCTAAATGCTCGAGAACCAATTCGATGCAATCTAAGTTGAGCTCATCTAACTTCATCACTTGACTTGGACAGTATCAAAACCTACGAATTTGAAAATAAAATGAAATTCTAAACTCAAATTTACGTTTGTTTAATTTCACAAATTTGACTTAACCAATGATTCAAATACGCAATGCTGTTGATACTTTTGAACGTTGTTGTTCTTTTTCACTTTTTCGATGCTAGAGCTCAATCGGTTTTAAAACTTTGACGAAAAAAGTAGGGACAAGTGGGGAAATTCGAGACACGTCTGAATTTCGCCGCAAATGAATAGTTTGACACATGAAACCAATTGTCATCGTTTTCTTTTAGTCAAACCTCATTTTTGTATTAGCAGTCGAAGAAAGTGCACGTGTTGTTAGCTCTGTGCGATATCGACGTGAAACAAACTTGAAAATTATTAAAATTGAGTGTGCGTGCCTACATCGTTTTCACAACATTTTTTAAGGAATTTATTCAGGTACCCAACAAGAATTTTGCGACACGTTTACGCAAACGTATCGCCAACCTTCCGCAATAGTTTTCACAAAATGCATGAACTGCGATCAACTTCATTCGAATTCAGCATGTTGTATTTTAAAAGGCTGCAATGGCTGATTATTCTACTTAATAATTATTTTGAATAAGTTTTTATTTTTTATTACCAACGATGAGCAACATGAAAAGTTTAAATAAAACCATTTGAAATTATGTTTTCAATGTAATGAAGTTGGATACAATTCGAATTTACAGGTTTACGCAATGCGATATGTCGCAGATATGTCGGCGTAATGATTATGCGTAAACCTGTACATTGAAAAACCTATCGCAATGCGGAATGTCGCGGGAAGGTTTTGCTTTACGGCGACATGTCGACGTAAACCTCAATGTATCGCAAAATTCTTGTAGGGGTAAATATGTTCATAGTTATCGAGACACATTTTGTGGGGAAATTCGAGACACTTCATTTTTGGCATTTCTTGACATGTGATCGCATTTTAACGCATAATTAGAAGTTTTCATGCAAAATATCGATAGAATATTCAAATATTGTTAGTTTAGTGGCTCTTTTAATTTTTTTTTTTGCTTTTTCAGGATTTTACCGTCACGATGGCGCCTATGCCACCTCTGCCGCGTTACTGTCCTAAAAGTGACACACCAACTGATTACGACAATATTTTTGAAGCAATCAAAGCGATCACAATCGACAAGCAAACATACCGAAGTGTTGCCGAGGCCTATAACATTTCTAGACCAGGATTGGCGCGATACATTGGAAGATTGAAAGAATTAAATGTGGATGTCGCAACTACTGATAAGCAAGTGTTGATTGATATCATCATGGACAGTTCAACGGTTGGCAGAAAACCGATTTTCACCGCTCTACAAGAACGATCATTAGTGAAGTATATTCTCAAGGCAAGCGACTTTCATTATGGCTTAAGCATTACTGAGCTGCGGGTTCTGGCATACCAGTATGCGAAATTGATCGACATCAAATATCCCGATGAATGGAATACCCATCAGCAAGCCAGCAATGACTGGTATTATGCATTTATAAACCGACACAAGAATTTATCATTGCGAACGCCTGAGCAAGTCAGTCAGAACCGGGCGAAGAATTTTAACAAAGAAAACGTTGATGCTTTCTTCGACAATCTCAGTTCTGTTCTCGAACAAACAAATTTTGAACATCGCATATGGAATATGGACGAGTGTGGATTTCCGACTGTCCCGACCAAAGCCATTAAAGTCATTGCACGAAGAGGCAAAAAACGTGTTGGCACGTCTACGTCTGCTGAAAGAGGCACAAATGTGTCTATGGCTTTATCCGTAAGCGCCATGGGCCAATCCATTCCACCTTACTTTCTCTTCCCGAGAAAGAATATGAAGGAAATATACATGACGCATGCAGGCCAAGGAGCTGTTGGTATTGCAAATGGCTGCGGCTGGATGACATCTGACGAATTCTCAAAGTATATGGACCACTTCATCACTCACTCGGGTGCTCGCAAAGGATTGCCAACGCTTTTGCTGCTCGACAATCACACAGCCCATTTATCCATCGAAGCAATCGATAAAGCCATCAACCATGATATCAAAATGTTGTCATTTCCCCCACATTGTACGCATCGCATGCAACCATAAGATATCACGGTATTTGGCCCAATGAAGACGATGTATACTACGAAATATGATGATTGGAAAAAGAGCAATATGAATGTAACCCTTGATTTGCACCACATTCCACTAATCGTCGACCAATGCCTTGATTTGTGCGTCATACCGAGGAACATTAAATCCGGATTTAAATCCAGCGGCATTGTACCATTCAATCGCGACATTTTTACTGATGTTGATTTCATTGCTTCAAAAACCAATGAAGAAAATGAAAGTGATGATGAAGACGATGATCCAGAAACCCAACGCCGTATTGTAGTTGTAAATGTGGACGATATTGCAACAGGCGCGTTTGAAGAAATTGAAACTTCAGAAACATCTGAGTTGGCTTCCAATACATCCACATCATCTTTACCTTCAACATTATCTGGTGCCGATTATCGTGACGCAATGAAAGCAATTGGTCCTTTGAAGCATGGTACACCAGCTCCAAAGTCTAATCGAGGTCGAAAGCCAATGAAGACCAGTGTTTTGACATCGCCGGAAGTTGTCACTGAACTACGACAGAAAGCGGATGCCAAACGCCAGAAGATGGGAGAGCAAAAGGAAAAGGCAGATGCCAAAGCAACACCAGCGCCAGCATCAAAGAAACGCAAAGCTCGTACACCTTCAACAGCGCCGAAGAAGAAGAAGAAGCAACGGTCTTCCACTGAAGAAGATGAAGAAGAAGATGTTGACTTCTGCATCATCTGCAAGGAAAATATGCCACAGAAGTTGAATCGAAACAACTCCATTAACTGCAATGTGTGCGATCGAGCTGTTCACCTGCACTGCGCCAATATGCAAGCTGGCTACTTCACATGCTCCAACTGTGAAACCGAATAAAAAATTCCACTGTTTGCCATCATTAGACCTTGAAATTAATTTGTTTTGTCAATTCAAAGCATTCAATAAAGATTTTTCATGATTTTCATTCATTTTTAATCAATTAACCCTCAACTGCATAAGCCCGCCTTTTGGCGGGCATCATTTAAACACCTGTATAATGTGAATCGGACGGCGGATGACATTGCTTCAAGGGGAATTTTTAAGGAAAAATTCATGCAGTTGAGGGTTAACAACGTGTCTCGAATTTCCCCACCATTTTTGAAAATCGAAAAATCACAAGTTTTTCGCCACTAGGTAATTTTTTTTCTCAGCCGTTTCGAAATTTCATAAGTGACAATCATCAAAAGTTAGGTTTTTACACGTACTATATCGTACGAGTTTAAAATTTGGAAAAAAATTGTGTCTCGAATTTCCCCACTTGCCCCTATAGGAAGCGAAGGTTTATTTGCTCGTTGTTTACAAATGAATGCAAAAAATTAAATTCACTTACATAAAATTCAGAGTACAGTTCACTTCAAAGACCAAAACACAACTGTCTTCTTTCTTCTATGGTTACTTATTCAACTATTTATAATGGTGTTCGAGGTAAAAACAAAGTGAGAATCCTTTTTTCGTCTGCTTCTTCACAAGTAATTAGTTAACATCGTACAGAACTCATGCGAATAGCCACTAATCCACACGTATACAGATAATCAATGCACATGAAAGTATACCCTTTTGAAGATTGGAAGATAATCCTTGAAGGTGTCATAAAAAACCTTTCGACAGAAATAACTGTAGTAAAGTAAATCAAATCTTTATTTTTACAGACATTTTTGTTCTTTTCGACTCCAAAGCTAGCCTCTACTTTATTCAGCCAGTACTTGGTATTGCAAAATAAAATAGAATAAAATATATTATAGGGCTCAAATTGTGTGTACATTTTCGATTCGGCTAATCGGTAGTATGCAAAATGAACACAACTCCAGTGCTTTCCATGGACTTCAAATGATATTATTTTTATGGGAATTTCAAATAAAACAAACTTTGTTCTTCGGTCTTTTCAAACACCCACAGTTTTCCAAACACATTATTTGAGTCCATGAATCCTTTCATTGATACCTATCATTTTACTTCAAATTCTGCGTTTCAATTCGACAGTTTTGTCGTCCGTGTTATATGTTCCTTCCCATGTGTAGCCCAATCGTTCGCGGAAACGATTGTAATCATCACTTAGTTTAAATTGAAATTTGTTCAGCATTCGAAATTTACCCATGAGATCGATAGCTTCGTCAGTTGAAAATAAGCAGTAGCATAATGAAATCTCCACCAATAATGGCAAAGATCTAGCCAATCTTAACCAATCTACAACCACTGAGATATCAATCTCACCTATAGATAGATGTTTTATCTTTGAATGTCTGTCAATGAAATTGAAGAACTCTTCACCACCATTAGGCCAAGATTTGTATAAATATAAATTATATTTATATTAATTGAATTTGCATAATTAATATCTATTTTTTAATTGTCATCATTTAAAATAACTTTTATGAACAATTTAGATGAACATTGATTTCAATTGCTTAGGTTCTTTTGAGTATCGCTTCCCGTGATGAGTTTTTCCACATGGTAAATCATACAGCAACACGAAGTAGATTTGTTAGACGCACGCTTGATCACATTTTGCGCTACAATTTTGATGGGCTGGATTTGTTTTGGGATTTTGGAGGCTAGTTACCAAAAGAGCCTATATGATCGCAATCAAAACTAAACTTGAAATAAAATTACTTTTTATTTTTTATTTTCAATTTCATGATAGTAATGCCAAGGCTGACGAGAAAATACTTGTGCTTTTGATTACCACAACCTGCTTTTAACATCAACATTCGGTGAAGTAGATTCCATTCGTTCCTTCCCATTTAATGAAAACGATACGCACTTACTTAAAATGTAAATTCAAATGGGTGTGCCATCAACGAAAATAATCATTCAACAGAGGATAGCCTGCAATCCTTATGAAAAGGTATTAAGCAAGATATTATTCAGAGACACCTATGAAGATGAGTGCCAAGAATCGGTACCGTCAGAAGAACATAAAATCGGGATATTTAATCAAATGTTTAAAAAAACTACTAGGCATATAGCTAATAAAATGCGATTTGCAATGAGACAAAATTTAGCTGGAGCACTGATTTGGTACCCCAGTAACGATGGCGATTGATATGGCCTATGCCCCATTGAACTTGATACATTTCAAGATTTTAGGCCAATGGAAGGGATCAATTTAACTATACCAACGCGTGATATCTATTTCCCGATGTTCCAAGTGGTAAATGATGCTATTACTGTATCACTAGATGAAATGGCACAGATGGCTGAATTGTGCAAACAGAAAGTCCATTGTGAAGTTAAAGTGTAATAAATTTGAATAAAATTGCTTATTTTTGTGAATATGAATAGAAACGCACGTTTATTTGTGGTCATCATCTGTATACATTATAGAAGAGAACGGTTACAGCAAAAACAAATCCTGAAGGATTAAACTTCAGTTCATACCTTTTTTTCTTGCCGTTTTTGAACGAATTTTTATTAGCTATGGTGCGGTATGATACAATATAATTTAACGATCAAACGAATGAACGGTGGAACGATATAGCGAACGAAAGGCTGAACAATGCAAAACAATTTAAATTGCAACAATTCAATGGTCATATAATTTTTTCAGTCGAATCATGATCATGTACAGTTTGGAACTTTTTACTTGCCCAAATGAATTCGAATCTTAAAAGCTTGGATTTAAGATCGTTGAACCACCCGTGGAGTTCCAAACCGATCGATTGCTGTTAGTTATACATTCAAGCAAATATTATTCAATTATTTCCACCATCGTATCGATTTGAACTATAAATAATTTGCGAGCAATAAAACGTCTTGTTAATTTCGAAACCTGTATTTGAAGGTAAAAAAAAACGTTGTACTATTCCAATTTGCTGGAATAGATTGAGCAAGCAAAATTCTATTGAAATGAATCTAGTCATGGGATGAATCTGTCATCAATTTTGTTTGACTACCACAACCACACCTATTTTGTATGAGTTTCATGCGTGTATGAACGCTGTTGCTCACATAGAACGTGAGTAATTCTCCTCCATTGAATCAAGTAGAAAATGTTGATAAATTGTGTATCGTTCTGCACTGATACGAGGTACGGTCGGTGACAGAAGCGGCCATAAAAAGGGCTATCAGAAGAAGAAGAAGAAGAAAAAACTGCTCAAATGGGAAATGTGATGAGCACAAGAGCAATGTGATTCGTAATATGAACATATGCGCATACGGGAGATACGGGTTTTTGAGTTGTTCCCTTTCGTCTATGTTCGTCATGTGTACGTTGCGCTCGATGAATATCGCAAACAAAACACACATACACACGATTCATAGCCGCTTACATTTAGCAGGGGAACATTGTGTGTTTGTTTTTTTTTCTCTTGACATCTCTTCTTCTCATATGCGCACTCACTCATGTCCAATTCAATAAATAACCAGGCGAAACGAGTGAATCCATTTGATACACATGTGAATCACAATACCAATACATGTGCACCGACCGAAATGTTATCCGAAGTATGTGTGTGTGTTTCTTTTTTCTTCTCTTGGTTCTAGTGTCTCTCTTTGGATATATTGGCCGTCAGCTTTGTGTGCACATACTGAAATCAGTATTCGTAGCTATATTGAGCTGTTAGGGTTATGCGCGTCGTCGTTGTTCGCGTTTAGTTCAGTACCGTAGGAATACTAGAAAATTGTGTATTTTTTGTGGCAAAATTTCTTGAAAATAAATGCAGTAAATGCAATTCATTTGCCGTGAAGTGAAAATCAAAAATCGCCAGTGTTAACGATCCGATCGTTCAAAGCGAAAATATCGTATACGGATTGTCGCGAACACCGTTTTCCAACCGGGCGTATATCGCGCGCAAATGTAAACAAAATTTTACATTTATCGTGCCAACCATAGTCGCTGCCATAAGTTTGGCGGATTATTTGGGTGTTTTAAAATCGTGGAAATAATTGTTGAAGAAAGTGTTTGTGCAAAAAACAAGAAAAATTTCATCATAAACAAATCCAAAAACGGCCACACATTCGGTGTGCGTACGTCACCGATAATTGAATACAAACCGGTAAACTATCGCCTGTTATCAACTGTATCAATATTGGTTTATATGCATTCATTTGTGTGGTTGTGGTTTTGATATCAAAACCAGACAAGAACAACAACAACCAACAAAAAAAAGCATACAAATCGTGCATCTTGCGACCACATTGGATTACTTTGCAACGTGAAGAATGTTTTTTTGTGTGATTTTGGACGATTTTCGACGACAAAAATGTGAATGTTTTGCAAATGCACAATGAAATAAATCAACGAAATCTCCTCGTCTCAGCAACAATAATTCAATGCATGAATGTTGTGTCTGGTTCCCGGATTCTCTCTGTTTACCTTTTGTGTGTCGACGTTGAAGAAAAACCCAAAGACGAAAATACTGTGTGCAATTCTTTTTGTGTATGCCATTAAATTTTAGCATCCTGACCATTGTTGCACACGAATGTATCGTGTGTGTAAACGAATGCGCGTTTGGATGTTGCATTTGCACAAATGTCGCGCATTCAATTCATATCATCTACGTCAAATAATTGAAGCGCACGGGAGGTGTCTATTAATATTTAATCATGTTTGTATTACGCTACTGATGCTGCTGATGCTGCTGCTGCTGCTATGTGTGCATGCTCATTCATTGATACCGAATCAAGTAGACGTATACTCGTCATGATGTTTCTTGTTGTCGCTTTTTTCGGGATCCATGCATGATAATTATGATTATCTCTTTCATTCTGATTCGTTTATAACGAAAATGATGGAATAACAAGAGAAACAAAAACATAGGAAGAAAGACAAAAAAAAATATTTAACCTAACGAGATTCAACGAATGAATGGATGACAGAATCAAAAATGAAATTAAAAAAAAAGTGAATGGTAAACGCAAGGCAACCCATAATAATTGGCTATACGAAATGCAGCATGCGATATCGTTTCAAATTGTGAACAAATCAATGAACTAAACTAAGCTCAAAACCTCTCACATGTATTTATGATAATCAAATGAGACAGTGAACTCTGTGAACGCAATTTGACTATGATTACTGTGATAATTTTACACAGAGCAATCGGAAGTGAGAGAAAGAGAGAGAGAGAGGCTGGGTTCAACTGCATCGATTCATCGAGCCAAGTTACACACCGTCATATTACATTGAGCCTCGTATATCCCGAGTTTTTTTTTGTTTAACATGTCCATGTGAATTGATGATAGAATGTGCCAATGTGCATTTACTCATTGCACATTGAAAGTGCAACCGCATGTGTCATAACAAAATGCGTGATTTTCGTTCTGTTGTTTGTTATTACTGCAAATTGTTTGAAGCGTGTGTGTGTGCGTTTGGGCGGTTAGCGTTTGCTATTACTTCATTTTTGTGTTGGCTGGAATCGATTCATTTTGATTGAACCAACAATAACCGAAAAAAAACCCAACAACACATTAATGGCTACCGAATAATGAGCACATCGCAACCATTTTCTCAGTTGCTATTTTAAAAGAGCTGCGGAGGTTCAGCGAATGGCCATTCATATGTGAAATATTGCCGATATGCTGCAAACAAAATCCATGTGTGCGCAAAAACTAAAATTAAAAATGCTTAGCCTAAAAATATGCAAATTCTCTTTCGGTTTCGATTCGGTTCTGAATCATTCCATTTACAATATCCATTCAGGAAATTTCAATATATCGAAAAAAGTGAATGAGTGAGAAAGATTCGTCTATCAGCCAATTGACGTTTGACAGTAAACAAAATTTTCATGTCTTGCGCGCTTGAGCATGTGTGCGTTTGCGTGCCAATGAAACCATACACCTCGGGATGAGGGAGATACAGAGACTATGTTGAAATATTGGAGGAAAAATGACTAACGATTTTCGTTTTAAAATTTGTGGAAAAATGCTTCACCATTTCATCAGCTATCGACTTAGATGATGAATATTTACTAAATCATATTCTTCGGTTTGAATAAGAGAAGATTTATTTGATGCATACAAACACAAGAGTTTGCCGTGGTTTTTTTTTTTTCATTTCCATTGAGAATTCGCCGCCTTTGGAAACATTCGATTTCTAGCTCAAAATTTGTGTTTGAGACACAAACATAGCATAGACATTTTAAAATGGCATTTTTAGCTCAACAAAACGACACTCCAAATCTGTATGATATTGTGGAGAAAGTCAAACTTTATGGCAAAAAATAACCGTGAAAATAGTAAACAAATAAAGTGGATAGCTAATAATAAAAAAAAAGCAGCCATCGTTCTATCAAATTCCATGCGTATCCAACACACATACAATAAAAACGAATCACATCGATATACACACACATAGAGAGAGAGAGAGAGAGAGAGAGAGAGAGAGAGAGAGAGAGAGAGA